TATTTTGTAGAAGGTAAGCTTGGCATCTGTCGTGAAGAAATTTTTTGTTATGAAGCCAATTAGACGTCTGGCTTTAGAAATAATAAAGGAGGCGTGTGCTTCAAAGTTTAGGCTTCCTGTGTAATTTATTCCTAGATCGTGTACTGAATTAAGTGTCTGGACTTTACTTTTATTTAAGTAAAGTTGGGGTTCATAGGGGTGCTTTCCAAAGTGCATGATCCCGCATTTGTGTAGGTTAAATGGTAATTGCCACTTTTCGCTCCAGATAGTTAGGTTATTGAGATCATCTTGAATCAGGCGCACACTTTCACTTAGAACCTCAGGCTTATAGCTGTATACTATTTTGAGATCATCAGCATATAAGTATGGTTTCCCAGATTTTATGATGTTACATATATCGTTTATATACATGAGAAACAAAAGTGGGCCTAATACACTTCCCTGGATGACGCCACTAGTTATTGGTCTAGGTAATGAGAGACAGTCGTTGTACTTTACCATTTGTTTACGTCCCTTTAAGAATGAAACAAACCATGAATAGAGTGGGTTGTTGATTCCGAAGGACCGTAGTTTGGCTAGAAGCCGTTTGTGTGGAACCTTATCAAAAGCTTTCCTAAAGTCTAAAAATATGACTGATACAAGGAGTCCATTGTCTCGTTTCAGAGTTATATCATTCATGTAGTCCACTAGGCATGTATCACATGATCTGGACCTAAGAAATCCATGTTGGGAGACCGAGATGAGATTATTAGTAATTACATGTTGGACTAACGCCGCTTTAACTACTTTCTCCATCACTCTAGACACCACTGAAGTTATGTTTATGGGTCGGTAATTTTCAACATTTGCTTCAGGTCCTGTTTTAATTTTGGGAATGATATGTGTAGTTTTCCAGGCAGTAGGGTAATGCGCTGTAGAGAGTGATATCGCAAATAGTTTGAGTAATAAAACACACATATCATCGCCTCCACGTTTTAGCATGCTAGCCGGAATACCATCTGGTCCATCAGTGTAGGAGTGTTTCAGTGTACTAATTGCCTTAGAGATATTCTGTACATTGAAGTCTACGTTAGTAATCTTACAGGCAGATGCTGTGATAAGTTCTGAATCATTAGGTGGTTTTTCATCAGTTAATGAGGAACAAAAGTGTTCATTGAATAGTTCCGTAACAAGTTTAGGATCTTCGTATACTTGTTTGTCTTTAATAAATATGTTTCCTCTCGACTTAGAACGTTTAAGTTTATTTTGAAAGAGTGTGGTGAGTGCTGAGGAGTTATTACTAAGTTCGACAGCACGTTTTTCCTGTTCGATTGCTTTTTGTGTACTTATTGCGTCTGTCTGGACAAGTATTTCTGTCATCGTTACTAAAGAGGAGAAGTCATTAGAGTTGTGGAAGCGAGTACAATGTCTCTGCAGACGTCTTCGTGTACCGACCGGTATAAACAGATCTTTAGAAAACTTAGGTCTCCAGTACTCTAAAGGTGCGACTTTGTTCATGATACTTTCGATGTTGTGATAAAATATATTGGTTAGTGTGTCGGTATTGTTTGCAGTAAAGAATGTTCCCCAGTCAGTGCTTCTTAGGTAATTGTGAAAATTATTCCAATCTACATTGCGATAGTTTCTACGAAGGGTTACATTTTTACGTCTACCGTTTGTGTTTTTTATATTAAGGCTACATACGACAGTGTTATGATCACTAACTGGGAACTTTTTTCCAATATACACAGTATTGGGGGTGAGGCCACTGGTAAAGATTAAGTCCAAGATATTTTGATGTCTGGTGGGGCTACTAACATATTGAGTCCACTGTCCTAGTTCTAGACATTCAATAAATGATTCATAACAATTCGGAGCTTTGACTGGAAACCAAGAAATTTCAGGCATGTTGAAGTCACCACAAATGAGCTTGCCTGTGAATGGAAGGGATGATGCTAGTGTGAATACCTCTGATAATACTGCTATTTCACCTATTGCCAAGTTAGGTTGCTGATAGATACAGCCGAACAGTAAGGTAATGGAATTTGATGGCTTTAAAACAATCCACACCGAGTCCTTCAGTTTGTTTAGTTCAGGTATATCGCATAGTAGTGAGTTTAAGCTAGAGTGAGCATAAATATTTCGTCCACGAAAAAACGCCTCGCGAGATTTCTTAGGGATGTTCCGGATGAGATTTCGTTCAGAATACGGCATGTCCGGCAGTATTCTTACATTCCCATCGGATTTCAGTAAGTGATTGGCTAGCAGGACGTCCTCAACGTTGTAGGCATTCTTAAGTGTAACTCGAAGCAGCTTTGGGTGATTTGTGTGGTTAGAATCCTTCCCCCAAGTGAGCCGTGTGACGGTCAAAGGCTCTATTCTAGGGAGTTCAAGCCTCTTGTTTAATTCTCCCCAGAGCATCCTATCGTTTTTGTCCTGCAAACTGAGAGCAAGATCGGGGTTGTCAATAAGGTTCATGATTATGACAGGTTTTCCAGGGCGTCTAGGTTTGGTATCTTGTTGTTTGGATGTCGAAGCGCGTTTTCTTTTTCTGGGCTCAGTGATGACCGGTCGGACAGTCTTGGGGTAGACTGTGCGGCCAAAGCATTAACTGATTTCCGCACGGTACTTGGGATGTTCAGTTTCGGTGGGGACGCTTGGGCCTTTTTACTCCTGTTAACAGGAGTCCAACCACCTACAGGATTTTTGGGAATCACTGTCTCATTCAAGGACTGTTCCATGGGGGGAAGCCCAAGTTTACTGAGGGAGTCGATGACAGTCGATGTTAAGATGGTGCTGAGTTTCAGCACATCATCACTCATGCTGTTAACAGCACTGTCAATAACCGACCTGTGAATATCCTTTTTCTTATTTGCCCTATGCCTTCCAGTTATGTTCCCCATCATGATACTATCATTTACCAAGTTCTTAGACAACTTATCTCTCAGACCTGTTAGTAAAGTAATGATGGTACCCAACATAACTACAATATCAGTATTGCAGGTAACACATACCCACCCACGATCAGACTTGCTGAGTCTGCTATAGACTGCTGCTGCTGCTGCTAGATCTGTATATGCTTCATGGAACCAACCTCTGCAGTTGTCACATTGCATGCCAGATGTAACAGCGAAACGGCAACCAGGTCTTTTGCATGAATTTTTCATGGCTAGTGATTTTGACTGTCTTAAAAATACAAGCAGTAAATTTAGGACCGTTAAAAAAAACACACAGTAAACAAAAACTGGCAAAAATGTATAAAAACAGTTAACGATAAGCTAAAGCTAGTCTTTACGTGAAAACTATAAAAAAACCGATAGTGAGCTGAGGCAAAACCACAGTTAACTATTAAGTTGAGGGAAACACAAAAAAGAAGTAATCTACCGAACGTATAGCTCAGAATAGATTCTTTAGATCGGTAATGGTACTTTTGTTGCGTAAGAACACAGCAAAAGTTTGAGAAATGTAAACCACGTTAGGACTAAACTTCCCGTTCGACTATTGGTCTTATCCCCTGATTCCGGTTTACCGTTGTTGACTGCAGTTGACCTGCTTCGTCTCCCAATCGCAAAGTAGTCATCGTCGATTGTATTACTCCACTTCGCTATCGCTATGACGTCAGAAACAGGCATCATTTGACAAATTTTCCGTCATATGGTTAGTTTTATTGGGTTGTACGTCAACATTCTGAACCCGATATGTGGATAGAGTACTATAATAACTGGTTTGACGATTCAATATAGAAAACTACGGACTACATAATCGCTCTTTATGTTGATCGTTTGGGCTCATCTCAGTATCCAAATGTGAAAATGAGGACTCTCAGATTGCAACAAACTTCTGAATCGTCTCTATTTAGCATGTACCTCTTTGACGAAAAATGTGTTAATATTAACTGGGGTTACTGAAAGATAGCGACGAATGTTTCTGTAAAAGACCAAACACTGTACCTTTCCACCTTATCTCGCTCTATATCAGGATGCCTACGATTACAACCTTAATGTTACCCGATATGAACAGTGATACATTTAGCACACTTGCACCTTTGAACTACGGAGAACAACAAGTAAAAAGCATATTCCCTGATGTGTCATCTTCATACTTTTGTAATTGACACTGAAAAATCACAACAAAATCGGAGAATATTGATGGGATACATGAGCAACTCTGACAGCCAGGTTAATATTTTTTGAAAAATTCCACGAATAGCTTTACAGTTATCTTAAGGCTGCGGCTTATCAAAAACATAACCATTAAGTCTAATCAGGAATTGTGGGAATAGACACATTCAGTCTAGATGAGATCCCAAAACATCGACTGTTCTCTGAATTTCGACCACCCATTGTACATTTCCAAGTACCTGGCAGAGTAACGAAATATGAAGAAGCGAGTGCAAAGTAATCAACCGGTTTGTATAACCTTGTGACATGATAGATATTTGATATTGTATTTCTACCACTTGAGATCCGTGATATTCTGATCTTGCTCAAAGTTAAAGTTTCGCCTTCGAGATTTTAGTCGTGCACAATGGAAATTATGATTTTGCGATCTTTCCCACCAATTAATTCGCTTGTTATTTTTTACTTGAATCTTATCACCGACCTTTAGGACTGCAATTGATCAGTCTCTTATTAGCATATGTGCATACTGTGCGTATAGCCTTAATTAATTCACAAGCATTCTAAGCAAGGATGGATAGTGGCTAACAGTGGAATCCAGGACGCAGGTTTTGTCCCATTTTGGATTCGTTACCTGGAAGTACATGCATCTCAGAGTTGATGTTCACTCTGGTACTCGAACGCAGTACCTTTCGCTTCAAACGCCATTGCGTTATCTACTTAGCTGTATTGCCTTGATATTACCTGAATTCATAAGTAATCACTTTTAGTTTGAACCAATATTAGGGTTTGTCTGTCTTAATTTTAATTGGTTGTTCAAGGCCGTCAGTATAGTACATAGGGTTACATTTGAATAAGCAAGCCTGTATCGTGTTGCAGCCGGGACACTGAGTTAGTTGTGGGATGAATATTCTGAAGACCCTAAATTGGTGTGCTGGTAAAGGTGGGAGTAAACTTTATGACTCGCCTGCTGAACTTCAGCACGGTAGTAATGTTTCGGATCTGTCTATCGTGACGACTGAGGGAGATTATTTCTCTCTTAAGGTACCAATCCTCTACGTATATCGTTTTCTCCTAACTTAAGTGTGACTTGGTTGATTTGCTGTCAACATCACTTATTAATGAGTTTGATCCTACAAACAGAAAGCTATTGGGAGTACTGATTGACAAATGCGTTGAGAAGGATCCCGAATTCATTCTCAAAGTATTGCAGTTTACTTAACTCATAGTTTCTAGATCTCCCTTTATTTCCATAAACTGTTAAATATTCGAAGGACAGCCAATCTGTTAGTTTCGATAGCTTGTTTTTATGTGCAGTGCCGCGTTTTCATAAAGAAGTATTTTAATGCATGCATTTGTACACCCTTCGATTGGATAGAAGTTGCCGAGTGTTATGCCGTAGGCTTGTGATCTATTTTAACATATTCCAAAGTCGTTGAGCGGTGATCCTAAACTTAGAGGAATGCCAAAAGCATTGAGAAAGTGTATGGTCTCCAAGTTTTGTGAATTTGATCAGAATCAGCTAGGTAAGATCATGTTTGTTTAACGACTCTGTAGCTCAATGCAAGCGAAGGTTGAATGGTGTCTGCTCTAATAAGTGCAAGGTAATTTGTCCTTCAGTTTTTATCCCCATTAGGTCAGTGAAAAAGGTGCAGGTGATGCAGTAGTGGGTGCCGTAACAGACACTTTACAATCAAGGCTAGTAGATCCTTCTCCGATTCATTTTACGTTGAAGAAACTCGTTCGTAAGTTGCATATATCGAATCCTGCGTTAAATGTCATGTGTATTCTTGAAAAATCGTATCCCAATGATGCCACTACCTTTTCAAAAATGAGGTTAGAGGGGGATTGGGATGCTAGTAAAGCTGGTGTATGCATGAGACTCCCCTTTCACTCAAAATGGAGAGTGGAGTTAACTGCTGGAAAAAGTCGTGACGCTTGGACAAAGATTATAAGTGAGTTTTATTTCATAAAATTGGATTTATATCCCATTTTTCACCACTTACTCTTGAAGCTAACATCAGCTTTTGATTACAACTTAGATGTTGAGACCGATAATAAAGTTGCAACGTTCAGTTGGAAATTGTTTGTATTTGGTTCAACCGTTTAGCACCACAGTTTTTTTTGCACTATCAATTTGTTCTGGAGATGTATCTGTTGTCTACGGTGTATTTTGTTACTGGTTATGAAGTCTTCGAGTTAGTTCTGTCACCACATATATTCCGGACGTAAATAAGAATATTGCTGGATTTCTTGTTATTACTGTTTACTGTAAATAACATTGAGTGCCGTTTAGGCCAAACTCTTAGGATTAAGAAAATGAAGCAGCTATAAAAATATTTCAGTGAATAGACTATTTAGGATGCAATAAAATTAGAGAAATATTATCAGTGTCCAAACATGATAAAATTATTGGAAGCACGTGAAACGTCATATATTCTTGATGTTATATTGTAGTGAATTGAAACACCAATAATGACAAGCGAATGTATTTTAATACATTACAGAATATCTCAGCAAAATCTAGGAACTATACAGTAAATACCTCATTTGCAAAATGTCAATCAATCTTCTGGCTTTGTTGTTCCTTCGTCTCCACAACAATCACTTTGTGTTCTTAATTTCTTCTTCTCAACCTTCTGCTTCTAGCCATCCCACTTTCGACTAGTGATACGTACTACTTATATCTGCCAACTTCAGTAGCACACCACAATATGACAGATGTATATCATGATGAACCGAATCTTCATGGAAAAATCCATGTTCTATAATTCATATGAAGCTCTTCGAAATCTTTGTAAATCTTCCCAAATGATACTGAATACTTATTCAGTCAATATATTTTGTTAAGATGGTAATCGGTCTTAATTCGGGCGGTTATTAAGTAATTTGTGATATAACTAGATGAAAAGTTATACATTTGAGATACATTTCCGAAGGTGAATGGATGGAAGTAAAGCAAAGGGGTGATTTTCCCTGATTCTAAAAATGACCCTGTGTAATCTCAATCGATTATCCAGTTCAAAATAAGTTCAAGAATTTCTGTAAGGGATTTGGATTAGGAGTTAAGGCTGGGACTCAGCTTAACAAATCACCGTAATGGTTTTGAGCACAAACTGACATCAGCTATTATGCATGGAACCTATGAAGCCATACAAATGAATGGATTGCGCGCATTCATTACAGAAACGCTATTTAAAATCTGACTGTTTTGCCAACAAACTTTAGTCCCAATTATAAATCTTATATTAAAACATTGCTTTTTAGCATGTAGATTTGAGTATCTGTTATTGAAGTGTGGCAGTCAATCGGTGGATCGATAATACATATCCGGATAATTTGATTCAGATATCTTGACCAAAGCATTTGTTTCCTGAATTCTTGAAAGCAGGGACTTTGTGGCCCCAACTCGAAGTTGTCCTATCAACTGTGCTAGGGTGTGGGGGCAGCACATTGTTTTTTTATGAAGATTCACTGTATTCATTGATGTTTTATTCTCCTGAATCGAAATATTGATTAGAAGAAATCACCCATAAAAATAATACATCCTCCTTTACCATATGAATTTCTAGCATTAACTACAGAGTATGAAAGTGTAAAACTAACATTACAAAAGTCACAGGAATGTTGTTTGTGTTATGTATCAAGGAGTTAGATTCCATCCCCTAAAATTATGGTTCCAGGTCAACAAGGTCCTGAGTAATAATCCTGTTTCCTTTTCATATCCTTTAAAATGAAATGTTTTTACGTTATAGGCTATTGGGAAGTGCATACTTTCACGTATTAGAATTAAGTCTTCTGGCTTTAGCTGGTATTTACTTAACTAGGAAATGTGTATTTTGGTACCACCGAGTAAGCAATGCCTGAGTTAAGAATAGGGTGTTAGGCGAGAATAGCAAATAGGTTGAAAAGGTAGTAACTCTTCAATTGAGATTGTTGTAACATGCGTTACGTATGTTCATCCACCACCTACATCAACGGGCGATGTTTTCTAGTGTTGGAGTGGGATGGAAAAAACGTAGGATCGGCTAAACCAAGAAGAGGCATTAATTCATGCAGTCCTTGACAATTGGACTGAGCAATGCCAATAATTGTAGATCACATGGTTGGGGTCTGCGTGATTATCGTAACCAATGGTTAGGGACTTTGGATGATATGGCTGGAAATCGTTTGTAATGGCGCAGGTTCATCCGTTTTCTATCTTCCTCCCAATTCTGAGCTTCTAAATTCTTCGTAACGTTCCCAGGTTTTTATTTCATTAATTAATGTTTTTTTGAGTCGTATCTTCTATGCTTAGTCTTTTCGACCACCACTGATACTTTTACTACCTCTACTATTCAATCTCTGTTCATATGATTCATATGGTTCAACATCGTGAACCGATGTACATAGGTACCAGGTTCTACATTGTGACTGACTGACTAGAAAATGTTAGTGCCAAAAGCTTGGGATCTAAATTGGTATTAAATACAGTACTATCTTTTTGTCATCTAACTTTTATTGAAGTTTAGAATACATATATGACCGGCCCAGATCACACTTTTTTGGTTGGCTTATTATATTCTAATTAATTCGTTTCATCAAACTAAATATTTTTGTTACTTGTCTCCTTGCGTTTTTTCAAAGACGTAATGATTTTTGTGTTGCTTAGTTTACCATGTTGATGAGTTTACACTTTATAGAGGTACTGATGAAGTAAACCTGATAATTCACCGAAAAGGATTGTAGTAGGCAATAGAAGTTAGTAATCTATAATCAGCTGGTAAGTTTGTGAAAGAAACAAAATGATTTCGAGCGATCAACTGTTCGGTAAGAATCAAAACATAAATTGTCAACTTCATAGTCACTAAAGTCATAGGAATTAATATTCTTTTCATTATTGCTTCGTTGACTGTTTTGAATCAAGAAGGGCACATTTAATCTTCATGCTTGTCATCCTTCAGATATATGTCTCACTGGTTGTCTACATTACCCCCATTGTTTAATGTTATGAAATTTCCCTTCGTTGTAAATTTTATGAGCTTTTATCAGTCAGAGGATAGCTTAAAAATCACGTGGGTTTTCAAAAAATGAAAAACTAGTGGGAATAATTACTGTTACATGCTGATTGAGTTTTATGCGTCTTCGGTATCATACTGTTTTTAACATATATTTGAGCGCTTTATTTTAAAATGAGGTATTTATTTCATAGCACCTCTTTCATTTACTTTTACTTAGCGTCTGGTGATCTTTGTCATGAATTAATTCTGAGAAATCTAAAAAGTATCCTATGCTCACACATTTCTCAAACTGGACATGATATTGTTTTACAGAGATTGTCAAATGTGGTAAGTGTTTACCCTCTAAAGGTTTGATCTTTGTGAGGTTTATTATTTTGTCATTCAGTTATGTGAATCCAGAATTTTACCACTGATGATTGCTTCAAGAAGCTATATCGCTAGAATGATTATTGAGAGGAGATAGTTCATAACTTACCTTCGAAAAATCGGTAGGTAAATATTGTAGAGTTGATATGTTTTCTGCATCACCACTTAAATTGCTAACAATAATCCAAAAGCCACCAGTAATCCGTTTCGATATCATCGTCCCTGTTCTAGTGGAAAGTTTCCGCCTGAGAAATCGACATGGTTTTGAATGAGAATGAATGTTCACTGATGAAAGTCACGTTATACTACTAATTGATTAACTTTAGATGGTATCGATTAACCTTTAAGTTGTAACATAGTTGCTGGCAGTTAGAATGTTATTCAATATACGTAAAAGTGGTTGTCCCAGTTCTTTCTGAAGGTAGAGATACTATTTATTGAGGAACCTCAAGGTAAATACTGTTTACCTGTGCCCTCCGATTTCTAACATTTCTTTGGTTATTAGTTTGGAATGACGACATTGGATGACTGTTGCCTCGTACCACGAATTGGGCATTTGGGGACAATGCCCAATTGGCTCCCAAATGCCCTGGTACGGCCGAGAGTGGGGAGAGTACGCTCTCCCTCTCGAAATGCTCTCACATAGCCACGCGAATATATAGGTTCTGCCAGGGAAGTCCTACTCACTGCCTTCTCTTGGCGGGGGTGTTGTTTGCGAAAGTGAGAGGACGAAGAGCGAATGTCCGGCGCTTTAACCGGGTTGGTGGATTCTGAGGGTCCACCTAGGGGAGTTGGAAAACCCTGATTCCAAACCAATGGTGCACATGGACTCCAGTATCCTGATGGAACGAATGGCGGAAGAACCTGTCATTGGTCACCGGCTTCCATGGGACTGCATCTCCTCACGATGCTCCACTTCCTTGTGGATCAGAGCTTTATGTCGAAGGCTCGGGGTGTGGCCCCCTAAGAAAATCACCTGCTTCAGTCTAGGCACCTGGGCAGTATCACAGCCCTCACACAAATCAAATGAGAATTGTGAGGCGCATATTTATCTGGTGCTTTTTGTACCAATATTTATGTGTTTAAATATTATTAATAATAATAATAATACCACGAATTGACTGAATTTAGGAATCTGAACCATTGAATCTTAACTCATTAGTTCAAACGTTAGATGTCCACTTGTAGAGCTGCAAGTTCTTCGTCTGATCAACAGCAGTGTCGTAGGTGCACATTGATGATGAGTCCCGAATCAGGATTAAGCAGCTATCTAGTGCTTCCTGGTTTTTAGTGGTACTTCATCTGATTTCAATCCGTAACGAATGTAAACTAATCTTTACAATAAATCTCATTAGCAATTGGTGATTTGTTCTTAACGGAATTTATGCTCTAGCTATTCAAAATATTCATTTATTTATTTAAACACATAAACATTAGTACAAGGAGGCACCAAATAGATATGCGCCACATAAATCATTTGACTTGTGTGAGGGCTGAGATACTGCCTGGGTGCCCAAACCAGAGCAGATGGTTTTCTTAGGGGGCCACACCCCGAGCCTCTGACCTAAAGGTCTAGTCCACAAGGCAGTGGAGCATCGTGAGGAGATGCAGTCCCATGGTAGCCGGTGACCAACAATAGGTTCATACCCCATTCGTTCCATCAGGATACTGTAGCCCACGTGCACCATTGGTTTGGAATCAGGGTTTTCCAATTCCCCTAGGTGGATACTCCACATCCACCAACCCGGTTAAAGCGCCGGACATTTTCTCTTCGTGTTCTCAATTTCGTAAACAACACCTGTGATGCGAGAAGGCATTGAGTAGGACTTCCCCGGGAGTGGTTGTATGCACGTGGCCATGTGAGAGCATTTCGAGTGGGAGAGCAAACTCTCATCACTCTCGGCCGTACTAGGGCATTTGGGGGCATTCGGAACATACTTTGCTGTTGCATACAAAGGTATCGAAAATTAACACTAACATAAATGGTAAGATTATCATTTAAAAGTGATTGATGACTTAAATTTAGATTACCGGATGTTCAATAGTTACCTTGTAGTAGATAGTTAGAAAACAAATGAATCAAAAAATTGCATCCGACAGATAAACAGATATTCGTTATGTAAGTGGTTTGTGAAGATTTGTTTACTTATGAATATCGATCATTTGATTTCAGTTCACTGATCTTGAATATCATTCTGGTACTAAGTTGATTTGTTTACAGTGTCATGGATGTGTATTTCCGAGGGATCGAAACAACTGTTTAAAGCTACCTGATTTCCAATGGTTTTCTAGCTGATGTCAGTCTATATAAAATCTATTTTTGGTTCATTTTTAAGTTATTCAATGAAATAAATTGTCTATTGATTTCTTCTTCACCGAACCTTTGTAGTCCATAAAATACTAATCAATGCAGTCTAAGTATACACCTCTATGATTCTGACTTTTCAATATATACTGTGAGCTTTATTTTCACAATAACTATCTTCTTAATTTATTTACATTTTAAGTTTTACGATTGTCAATGAACATTCAATACTTTTTAATTCTAGGAATTGGTCATTGAAGGAAAACAATTGCCATTTGTTTATCTTACAGCGTATATAGCTGTTGAGAAACTTCATGATATGCTATCTATGACTGCGAATCGTAAACGCCTAAAAGGTAAATAAAAACAATATATATAAAGTAATTTATATCGCTTTTGGCGGGTTCGCATATAACCTGAACTCACATTGTCTCCTGAGTGTGCGTTTATATGTCAAGAGCAAAAGATTCTGAAAGTGATAAGAATAAGCGTTAAAGCAAGCAGACAACTGAGCAAGGACTCCAGTGTGTAAAGAGAATATTATTGGATACAAATATTTACAACAGCTCATATTGTCACAGTTTACATAGTTATCATCAGAGAAAGTAAATAATCAAAAATAATTGTATGAAAACCGTAGTGAAATACACTAACAGCATGTCAAAAGTGATGGATAGAGTTGATGCATAAAAGCCTAAAATATTATGATCCTAATGTTTTGAAGAATAAAAAGATCAAATGAATGCAGTTGCATTTTTATAATTAATTATGCCATATTGCACCTGAAGTCTTTAAATATTGGTTTGAGTTACCTTATGAATAATAAGTAGTTAGTTTGTACGTTCAGTTTCACGACTGAGATGAACACTTAATAATGACTATGTGATCGGATGAAACATCCTGATCTTGTCATTACCAACAAGTCTTGTAACTCAGTTCCATACTGATTAGCAGTCGTGTATTTATTCAGAGTTTACACTTATTCGGTGAGTTGTCCATCACCAACTTTAAATATGTCACAATTATGAGTCAGCCCAAGTTATCACACTATATTAGCTGAGCTAGATGAAATTGATAAGATGAAAGGCATAGGTCACAATCACATTAAAACTAAACATGGGGAATATGATTCGGTAAAATAGAGTAAAATAAGGAGATAAAAAGTACAGAATATTATGGGAGCTTAAATTTTATGGGAAAATAAAGAATGACTGCATCTGCATCACTGTAACCGACTTTGAACTATGTCACTTTGCATTTCCATTCATTGATTAAGGTTACTACACAGACGTAACTGTAGATCATTGAATGTGTGTCGTGAATTTCGATAATTTGGTGACAGTTTCAGTGGCATTTTTTCCTAACCACTTACTTGCTACCAGTTACTAGACATTGCTACCGATGTTTTGCAGGTATAACAGTTGCATGCTTAACTTTTTCACGATTTATAAATGCATATTGTTCAAGAGCCATTCATTTTCTTGACTCTTTATGGGATGTGAATGAATACTGAACAATCAGTAGTTAATTAGCTAAAGATTTAATATTTATTTACAAAAAATACGATTGCCATCAAATATTTAAATAGAGAAAAGACTGTATTAAAAACAATACAACCGTCATCATAGAGGTTCTAGTCACTTTTGTATTTTGTTATGTTCCCGATTCTGCAGTTAAATACTTGAAATTGGCAACTACTGCGATTCCCACAACTCAAAATAAGGACTTAGAATACTGTTGATAGGATTGTATTTGACACCAAAAATAAAAGACAACGATATCTGAATATACTACTTTCTGTATGATTTATTTACAGTCAGATTTGTGTGAACTAAACTGAGTAGTAAGCAGAGATGGATAGTATTGATATTTATTTATTTATTTAAACACATATATATTGGTACAAAAGGGCACCAGGTACATATGCGCCACACAAAATAATGAAAGTAGGAAGAGAAGGGATGAAAAGATAAGGCGGACTGAAATGTACAACCAGAAGACTCTTTCAGTTAGGAAAGTTAGAACCATTCTTTATGTAGAAAGTAAAAGAAGGTTGCAGCAGGATCGCCACTGGCTTCTATTCTGAGCCATATCTGATAACGTCTCTAGCCACTGTGTTGCACCATCTCTCGGACCCCAACCAGGGAGTCGTGAAGGACCAACAGAAGCTAGCCCTTTGCAGTTCCCTTTAATGCCACGACACCATGTCATACACTGACCTCCTCTCTGCTTTTTCCAACCAGTCCCAGGGTCGGCAAATAATGCACGACGTGGAAGTCTCTGGGACGACATTCGTAAAACATGTCCAAGCCACCGAAGTCGGTGTTTCAAGATGGTGACACCAATTGAATTATCGTCTCTGCGCCCGAACACACGATGCCGAACCTCTGCATTACTAACATGGTGTTGCCACTGGATGTCAACAATCCTTCGGAGACAACGATGATCGAACACAGAAAGTCGTCTAACATCCTCAACTCGGAGAGGCCAGGTTTCACAAGCATAGAGCAAAACTGCTCTCACCGACGCGTTGTAGATCCGACCTTTTACAGCCAGACTAACATCACGAAGGCGCCAAAGATGGCCCAGATTGGCATAAGCCACTCTGGCTTTCATTATACGTGCGTCGATCTCATCAGTCACGCCACCACCAGCACTTATATAGCTACCTAGATACACGAACATCTCAACTACTTCAATCTGCTCACCATCCAGGGCGAGTACAGGATTAGAATCCTGCCAGTCTTGTAGGAGTACTTTGCTCTTGGAGGGTGCAAAGCACATGCCGTACCTGCGGACACTGATTGCCAACTGATTAAGTGCTGATTGCATGCCTTGGGCATTATCACACAGTAAGACAATATCATCCGCATACTCAAGGTCGAGAAGTCGTTCTCCAGGCAACATATCCACACCGCCATTACTTACATCCACCAGAGCTGTTTCCAGGATGTCGTCGATGGCAAAGTTGAAGAGGAATGGTGGGATCGGGCAACCCTGCCTAACCCCACTGCTCGAATGGAACAAGGGAGAAAGGTGGTTGTATGCCCTCACTCTGCCTGAGGTGTTCGTATACAGGGCCTTTAAGATGTTAATGAACTTCTCAGACACACCCTTCTTCAATAAACAATCCCAGAGAACAGTCCTGTCCAACGAATCGAAGGCCGCTCTGATATCAAGAAACACTACGATTGTTGGCCTGCGATAAGTATGACGGTGTTCTAACATTTGGCGGAGGGTGAAGATGTGATCAATGCATCCTCGACCAGAACGAAAACCAGCCTGCTCCTCGCGAGTCAATCGTTCTCGGGTTTTAAACAACCTACGAAGAATGATAGAAGCCAATAGTTTGGACGCAATCGAAAGTAGACTTATCCCCCGATAGTTATTGCAGGAACGACGTGAACCCTTTTTAAAGATAGGGACGACTATTGACTCATTCTATGATGTTGGAACACTTTCTTGCTCCCAAACCTTTCCAAACAACACAGTCAATTCCTTAGTCAGAAAGTCACCACCATCTTTAAAAAGAGCCGGATGTAAGTCATCTGGGCCCGGTGACTTGTAACGTTCCAAGAGTTGGAGTTCCTTGTGGACTTCCGCCTCGTTTGGTGGATCAGTCGTCACCGGCCATGGGGGGCAGGACAAACTGGTTGATGTTGCCGGAGCAGCAGGCCAGTTGAACTGCCCTTCGAAAAATTCCGCCCATCGTCCAAGACGTCGAGAGATGTTAGTGATTGGCATCCCGTCATCCTCGTAGATTGTTTCACTCACATCAGACTTCTTGCTGCCAGTGGCTCGGATGAGTTGGAAGAGCTTCTGGCAGTTACCAGATGCAGCTGCTGCTTCCATCTCATTAGCACGCTCCGACCACCAGGCTTCCCGGTCCTTACGCAAGCTTTGCCCGATTTCATTACGTAACAGCCTTCGTTTGTGGTCAAACTCACGGTCACCCGGAGTAGACCGACGGGCTTCCATCAGTTGTAAGGAGCCAGAAGAAACCCAGTGCTTATAAGCGGGACGTTTCGCGAAGCCGCAAGCGGCTTTACTCGCCATTTTCATGGCGTCGTGAAGAAGCAACCAATGCTCATCTATACTTTTCGGTGGGGTGGTAGCTAGCCTAGAGGCTAGCTCCGCTCGATACTTACTTGCAACAGAAGTTGCAGCCATTTTACTAATATCAATCCGTTGGTGGTGGTCAATCGTTCGGCCACTGAAAAGTAAGGTGAGATTGGCGCAGACCAGGGCATGATCAGACTCCAGATAGGTACTCCAAAAGGAGCGGCAGTCTTGTACACAACCACGCCAGCGGTAGCTGATCGCGATGTGATCAATCTGAGTCCAGGCTTGGGATGCAGAGGGAGGACGCCAGGTGGCACACCGGCGATGACTGTGCCGGAAGTCAGTGCTGGCCAGAAACAGGTTGTGGTCTGTACACAGTTGCAGCAAACGGTCCCCGTTATCTGTCCTGCGACCAACAAGTCCCCATCGGCCACCTAGACGACTCTCTTCTATGCCTAGACGCCCGACCTGTGCATTCAAGTCTCCGGCTAGTACTACAATATCTGTCGAACGCGCTTTCTGGAGAAGAACTGTTAACTGATGGTAAAACTCATCCTTGATTGCATCCGGGCTGCAATCTGTCGGGGCATAGGCGGAGATAACGAAAAGACACCGTTTCTCACGCCGATTTCTTCTCACTTTGATGGAACTTTCTAATCTAACAGCACATAACCGACTGTTAATGGGGATCCAATCGATTAGTGCTGCCTCAGCCCTAGCGCTTAGTGCGACACCAACGCCTGCAAGACCAGACGAAGATGCCACAGGGTCCCCGGATAAGCGCACGTGGAACAAGCTTTTCGAGGCGACAGATGGAGAGCGGATTTGTAGTACTTCACTAGAGTCTTGAATACGGGTCTCGGATAGACAACAAACATCAACATTAAGACCTTCCAAAGACATAGCCAGCCCTATCTGTTGTCTGATATGCATTAGTGTGCGAACGTTGAAGGAAGCCAGCTTGAACGGCGTACGTGGTTTCAGAAAGACTGCTTCAGTATTCATTATCGGTGGAAGCATTCACTTTCAACCAGACAGTGACTGGAGATCGTTTAGATAGGACAGATTTTCCACCATGGGCGAGCTGCTGCATAAGTTGAAAAGTAAGGTTACACAAATTGGGGATAAAAGGGGGTGAGTTAGCGATATGGTAAATAATAATAATAATAATGTAAATTGTCTTGCTTTTAGTATGAGCAGGGATATTATCGTCAATAGAGTTCATCATTTCATTCATTTGTGTGTGGGCTGTGATACTGCCCGGGTGCCCAAACCGAAGCAGGTGGTTTTCTTAGGGGACCACACCCCGAGCCTTTGACCTAAAGGTCTGATCCACAAGGCAGTGGAGCATCGTGAGGAGATGCAGTCCCATGGTAGCCGTTGACCAATGACAGGTTCTTCCGCCATTCGTTCCATCAGGATACTGGAGTCCATGTGCACCATTGGTTTGGAATCAGGGTTTTCCAACTCCCCTAGATGGACCCTCCGTGTCCACCAATCCGGTTATAGCGCCGGACATTCGCTTTTCGTCCTCTCACTTTCGCAAACAACACCCCCGCCAAGAGAAGGCAGTGAGTAGGGCTTCTCTGGCAGAACCTATATATTCGCTGGCCATGTGAGAGCATTTGGAGAGGGAGAGTAGACTCTCCCCACTCTCGGCCGTACCAGGGCATTTGGGGCTAGCAGTGGAATCCAGGACGCGCGTTTCGTCCTATTTGGGACTCGTCAGCTGGATGTACCTGCGTCTCAGAGTTGATGTTCACTCTGGGACTGGAACTCAGTACCCGCGCTTCAAACGCCATCGCGTTGTCCACTCGGCCACTGAGTCCTGATAGCCACGTGCTTGTGCGATGGGGGTGAAGTTTAAATTCATTCAGTATTGTTTGTTTGAATCTTCCCATCGATTTGTTAGGAGTGCAACTGGTCAATGGATAACGAGATGGCGTTTGAAGCGAGGGTACTGAGTTCGAGTCCCAGAGTGAACATCAACTCTGAGATGCAGGTACATCCAGCTGACGAGTCCCAAATAGGACGAAACGCGTGTCCTGGATTCCACTGTTAGCCACTATCCATCTTTGCTTACCATGCTTGTGAATTTAGGCTACATAGAGGCAATACGCACAGAATGCACATATACCAATTAGTGACTGACCAGTTGCAGTCCTAAAACATCAATGGGAAGATTCAAACAAACAATACTAAATGAATTTGAACTGAGTAGTATTTAACACCAAGTAATCAATAACTTACTGATTGAGCACATATTTACAGTATAATACAATTAACTGTATGTAATCAATAGATATGAGTATTTGATTAAGTTGTATGATTACTCTTTCTTAAGATGTGATTGCATGTCACAGACTATTGAGAAAAAATAATTTCATTCATTACTCTCATTCAAATCAACGAAGTCCTTGCACGCCGTTTCACGTTTAGTTGTCCATGTTTGTGCTTGTTTTCAATTTGAAGTGTGCATAGCTACTGAAGGTTTGATCTCACCAGGCTATATACAAGGCTGTATTTCATGATGCAGTATATGTGTCTGTGTGGGGTTGTTGAGTTGTGCTCCATGGACATCAAGTGATGTACAGTACCATGGCGCGGAAATCTACTTCACATAATTAAATTTTATCACTGACCGATAGATTATGTATGAATGAAATAAGTATTACATAACGATTAATGGATTGGATTTAACTTCTCTGTGGTTGTTTCAGACATCCGTGTAGAAGAAAGCAACAAAATTCGATCCAAGTACCTTTATAGATCCAGGAAGTCTAGAGTAAGGTAAGCGGTTTTATTGTTGATCATGTTTCAGTTATTATCACTACTTATTTTATGTATCAGAATATATGGTCAATGATCTCTTTGTATGCCAATGACAAGTTTGACTGGGACAATGAGAATATCCTAGAGGACACAAACTCAAGAAATATGGGGGAATGCTTGTAGACTTGGTATTCAAATGAAATAACTACCAACCAAAGCATAAACATAGACTCAACATACATGTTACCTGTCAGAAGACAAGGAAGCATTATGCCATTGAAAGTGGTTCTCGTTTCGGCTCATCAATAGATCAAACAAGTTAATATGTTGCTGGAAATAATCCTGGCCGCACAAACCTACCAGACTTATGGTCGATAAATGATTCACCCAGAAATTTGTTAGACCTGAAATACTTTGCTTCCTTATCATCTTCACCAAAAGGACTACGTTACATGCGTAATTTGATTCAACAAGTGAATCTCATGGTAGGAAATCAATTCTTGACGACTAGAGCGTTGTCACCAACTTATTATTTTGAATAGATTTCATGATATCCTTAGATTTTATTACTCGGTTAATTTGGTTGAACATACAAATTAGTGTATCAATTAAAATCGTTGAATAGTGTAAATGAAAAACTTTGTCACTAGATTAGTCTTGATCAAATAACTCATTCTATGAAGCTGTTTCCTCCTGAACCATATATCTAACAAACTAAATTAATGATAATTGATTTATTCAATACTGAACATATGATCATAGTAAATAAATCTTAGCACAAATTTGTGATCTTGCAACAAATTCTTATTTAACATATATTTGGTTATCAGAAGGGGTTTTGTGGAGATTTAGTATTTTGATTGTTGAAAGCGTGAATCAATTGAAGCTAGACCACCATGGATAACCTGGAAGCACTGGACGGCCGTTTCGTCCTATTATGGGACTCCTCAGCAGTGCACATCCACGATCCCGCACTCACGAGATTCGAACTCAGGACCTACCAGTCTCGAGCCGGAGTCCTTAACTGATAGACCACTGAGCCGGTATCCAACAGTGTTAATGTCTAACTTCAACTGATCCACGAAATTGTGCAACCGTTCACCAATTGTCTTCAGTGAGTTCCTATCTCACAACAGACGTGGTTTGAACTCCACTGGTTTCTTACCGTTCAAAATACATTTTTATTCACAGGCAATTATTGATCAGTTTTGCTTTCTGAAACTCATTTTACGTCGTATAATAATAAGTTTGATAGATGAATTCCATTACAATGCAACAGTTACTCGTTTCTCTAAAGACGCCATAAGAAGGGTAATCTGCCAATTGTTTTGATGGTTATGTTTAAATTTGTCAATAATTATTTTTGCGATAAGCTGTAACTGCTTTATGAAACCGCTTGGGTACATCAGGTGGTTGTAAGAATACAAATTAATCAGTTAAAATAAATTCATATGGTTTTTAAGAAGTGGGAAAATGGGTGGTTTAGAGGGTTTAAAGAGTTAGAGGAATTCAAAACTGTGAGGATGGTTTCAATGAGTTTTTACCTGTACTGTGCAAAATATTGCTGAACCATGGATTCAGATAGATGTCTGTTTTACTATTAATAAGTGAATCGATTAGATTTATTGAACATCTTCTTTGTGTCGGCTGTAGTGTGTGGATCGTTTGTAAGATATACTGCAATAAAGTTCACTGTATCATAAGACTTTGGTTCAATGGACAATAGACTAAGCAAAATATCTAAGTCATCAAACACTGATTGGATTAACATACCAAGTACTCGAAGACTGTTCATTATCGTTTATTGAATATACGTTCTTCTGGAAGTGATTTGCTAGTTGTTACTCTTTAGATTCAGTTAGCCACTACAAATACATACATCTTTATTTTGCTTTCAGATCTTTGAACATTAGTAAGGAGCTATTGAACAAATACCTATTAGCTTTAACTAAAGCTATGAGCTTGTCAGCTCGTTACAATTTATCTCCTATACGTTGTTCAGTTTTGGTTATTTGTTCTTTATGCTCAGGATTTGAGCTTCAAAAAATTAGGAGATCTACTAGAGTGAAAGCTATCGTAAGTTGAGATTTTTCCCCTATGCATCATTATTTGTATTCAGTTGGTTTGTGAAGTGAAGCTGGTTATATTTTACTTAAAATAAAATGCCGATAGCGTTGCTAGTTTACTGGTATATATTGATGGATAATCGTCATTCAGGCTGAATTGTACGTTGATTATGCTGATTGGCTGAATGATGTATTCCGGACGAATATATTGGTGGTCTTCAATCTCACTGACAAAAGCTATATATTACAGGTTAAGTAAATTGAATCGACTAACTGGCACAGCTTCATAGGTAAACCTAAAGCTGTTGTGGATCCCTAGGCGTTCGAAATTTCTATAGGAAAATAAGTGAATTAATGTTGGTGGTATGGCTTGTTTAGTTTTCTGGTTGTAAAGCACGAGTGATATCTCTGAATATTACTGAACAATATAACTTTCAGGGTTTGATGTAAGTGGCTTCACCATTCTTTCCTTCTTCTTTCACAATTAATAATTAACGAGATGATTGCCAAGTAACAGAAAATTATCATACTAACAGTAGTGAAAAGCCACCAGTGAAATGTAACGTAGAAGCGAAAAAGTATATTCATTTTGATGGTATTGATATTTGTGTTTGCTATCGACTGTCCACAAATTATGCCCGTTTGTGCGCACAGTATTTAACACAATTATCAAAGGGTCAGTTTACTTATTACTGGATCAAAGGATTAGCGTTTGATCTCATCTGCGTTGCTTTAAAAACATGGCATTATCACTTATAGTTGCACCAAGTTCCAGGTTCTAACTCGCTCCACCTTCTCCGGCTTAAGAAACTGTGTAGTATCATTAGTCACCACACCTATAGTGTGGCTCATTTCCAAGTAACTGGTGAACGAGCTAATGTATTGTTATTATTTTACCACATTTGTTATGGCTCTCCATCTTCTAACGATGAAAATCCTATGGTGTGACACAAATACCTATCAACACAAGTTGTTCTGTACCCCACATCCAAACAGAGAGAAAAACTGGAATATAAACATTGGATTAGTGGAAATGATTACATAAATGTCAATACTTTTAACTCCTTTTGATTTCAACTTTCGATGATGATGTGAAATTCGGTGATACATACATGCATACTTATAGATATTTTGTTCTAAATTCTATGGTATGTTCAAATATGCCAACAGAAAATTATTGGATTGTTGTTTCTTTATAGGTAGTGCATAGTCTGGTTGTGGTCAACAAAACACGAATGGGGACAATCGAGTGTATTTAAGGACAAATTACAGACTATCTCACTAAATTCTGTTAACCATACAGCAAACAGTTAATTTGCAAATTAACAATCAATTATCTCAATCTTCATTGTTCCTTCTATAAATATCAGTTCATCTTCTCTAATTAGATTGTTCTTACATTTTCCTACCAATCGCGCTTCATTTCAGTTCTTTTCTTATCGGTGTTCTGCCAAAATACATTCTATGTCTGACCATCGCCATATACTACTTATATGGATATAAGTGGACCACACTACATGGTTTCTTAATTTTGTTCGTTTTGAGAATTGCCTCGACATTTAATGTTCATTAAATTTTGTTTAGGAGTGTATTTCTACAAAATCCTTTCTTTCTTTCTTATTCTCTCTCTCTCTCATTTTTCTGTCATTTAGATAAATGTGTTAAGCTTTATTTATGGTGCAATATGCAATGCAATATGTGAAAATGCAGTCGTTTATTTTGTAGTGGATAATGACTATAATGTCGCTTCCATTAATAGAATGTTATTACTGTTATATGGTTCACTATGGCACACAGAGGAAAATAAAAAAGACACATCATTGTTTCGATCAACAAACCTACCATTAATGGATAAGATAAAACTGATTTATAAATATCGTAAAGTGAGCATTTTGTTTTTTAATTTTGTTGTTTGCTTGTTTTGGCATTCAGTGGTTGTTAATGTACACTAATCATTTCCCTCATCCCTCGTTTCTTCACCAAATAATCATCAATAAAAGTGACACATTATTTCAAGTCACTCAACCGTCAATAGCAACAGAGTTAACATGATCGATTGAATTATGTTGCATTGAAATGCTTCTTGGTTTCAGTCTATTGGTGGTTCCAGGCAAATCGTTTCAAAAGTAACAAAATAATGAAATCAGTATGTGCTTTATCGAATAGACTTATTTTTGAAACATCAATGTAATGATCGTGGATGCATATTTTAATTTTAGTCAGAAGCTAGTACTCAGTATCTTGAAAGCATTCCTGTAGATGAATCGTAACTCACAAATAAGCTTTGCCAACTTCGTTTGAGCAAACAACCATTGGTAGGGGTTTTAAGTAAACTGTGAGGGAACGATGTTTCTAGAAAAAAGCAAATATTATCAATATAATTATCGCTAGTTCATATCTAGTTCTTACATACCTGTGTTGTCAGTGACTTCAGTTTAGCTTCATACCTCAAAGAATATTCGTCCACTTACCACACTTTGCTAATTTTTACTTCTCCCGATCGTTGCTGCTACCTTGACGTGGTGGTCGGGCTTGCCTATCGTGATGAAGCAATCGAGCTATGCTGGCTGGAACAGTCGTTCCTCGAGGTCCTACCATGCCAGACAGGTCGGTTGAAGAGCGGTGAGACTAAAAGCAGCAAACCCAAGGTCCGAAGTCGTACTGCTGACTGTACAGAGGTGTGAAGGCAGTAAAGTGTTTGCTTCAGACAACCAGCATGACAGCGATGCTGCCTTCCCACAAGGAGGGGTGGGGTTAGAAAAGGTCGACCCTAAAAATGCACACCTCGCCTTATCCCACGGATATCCGTCTCCGGCGGTAAGGTTTTTTTGAAGAACGGAGCTAACACAAAAAGGTCGTGTGTGACCGACCTCAAGCAGTTGTCCCTTGGGCACTGCGGTCACGCTCTCAGGTCATTAAGACCACTCCTAACCCAATTTCCTTTTCAGGTACCTCTAGAAGAATCCTTCCACGGTGTGGGCAACCGGGAAGTGATAACTGCCCTCATACCTCTAACAACACTCAAGACCACTGTATTCATAATCAATCTCCTTCTTCACTTCCTACTATTCCTTCTACCTTGACTTTCAACACTAAACTTCCTCTCTCGGTTTCCTCCTCAAGTGTCACCATGGCCAACGATTCTAGTGCGCGAAACGCTGTCCCAGGTCTACTAAAACCTCGCTCCAAACTACACATTGGAGCCTTCAACGTACGTACTTTAAGTCAAATCGGTCAACAGGCCTCCTTAGCTAAAACTCTAGAATCTCGTACCATTGATGTATGCTGTGTCTCCGAAACACGCATACAGGATCCCAGTGTGGTCATTCACTTGACCTCACCTCGCCAAAATGGACAGCCGACGAAATACACCCTCCGTGTATCTGGCGAACCGTTGGCTAGTTCTCCCGGACTTGCAGGTGTAGGCATAGCACTAAGTACAAGGGCAGAACAGGCACTACTAGAATGGATCCCCGTTAACAGTCGCCTGTGTGCTGTCCGGCTAAATGGCTCCATAAGAACTCGGAAGGATAGGGACACACGTCGTTGTTTTTTCGTCGTTTCTGCCTACGCTCCCACTGACTGCAGCCATGATGAAGTAAAAGATGACTTTTACAGAAAACTCTCTGAGCTTCTTCAGAAAGCTAAGCGCTCAGACATAGTAGTCGTAGCGGGTGACTTTAATGCCCAGGTAGGCAGCTTAAATCAAACAGAAAGACATTTAGGTGGGTGTTTTAGTATTCCGGCTCAACGAACCGATAATGGGGATCGTCTGTTGCAACTATGCTCAGACAATCGTTTATTTTTAGCAAGCACTAATTTTAAACATAAGGAGAGACATCGTCTAACATGGCGACCACCTGCACCAAACCAATGATGGACTCAAATAGACCATATTGTCATCAGTCATCGTTGGAGAGGCTCAATAGAAGATTGTCGCTCTATTGGAATACTTGTTTAGACTCTGATCACGCTTTAATACGAGCGCGCATTTGTCTGCGCCTCAATGGACGCAGGAAAAGTACACTAAGAAGACCCATTAGGATTGAACTGGAGGACGAGAAAGCCAAATGCGAATTCCAGAAGCAACTGAGTTCACATCTAGGCAGTTCTGTAAACGAGACTGACCCAGATGCTGCTTGGAAAGACACACGAACAGCTGTGGAAACAGCAGTAACATCTATTAGTCACTTAAACCATAGGGCTCCAAAAAACCAGTGGATTTCCTCTAAGTCTATTTCACTGATGGATTCGCGTAAACTCATCCCATCAGGCTCTGAACATGACGAAGAGCGTAAACAAATTAGATCTAGGTTAACTAAAAGCCTAAGGAACGATCGTGAGCAGTGGTGGGCAACGAAAGCAAAAGAGATGGAAAAGGCAGCGGCTGTAGGCAACACCAGGCAACTATTCAGACTAATAAAAGAAACCGGAATTAAGAAGTCAAGTGTAAGTGAGACAATCTCGGAAAAAGACGGAACCCTTATCTGCTCTCAACCTAAACGTTCAGAACGATGGGCGGAACACTTTAAGGAGCAGTTTAGCTGGCCTTCAGCTACTGCACAACTACCCACTATTCTTAGAAAACCTGAATGGAACATTGAAGTAGGCCCCCCGACCATACTTGAAGTTCAAAAGGCTATAGGTAATCTGAAACGAGGAAGAGCAGCTGGTCCTGATGGATTGGCTCCAGAGGTTTTTAAATACGGTGGTCCAATTTTAGCGATTAGGTTGACTAATATTCTGGCTAAAATCTGGGAGACGGATGTAATCCCATCCGACTGGTCACAATCACTGATTGTCCCAATATATAAAAAGGGGTCAAAATCATCCTGCGATAACCATAGAGGGATTAGTCTGACTAACATAGCATCTAAAATACTAGCCTCAATAATTATCGGGCGCCTAACTAAGACTCGTGAACTGCAAACACGAGAAAATCAGGCTGGCTTCAGACCTGGTCGTGGCTGTATCGACCACATATTCACCATTCGTCAAGTTTTAGAGCACAGATATGCTTATCGGCGTCCGACAATGATAGTTTTTCTTGACTTGAAAGCAGCATTTGACTCTGTAGACCGAGAGGTTCTGTGGCAGTGCCTGTCATTGGGAGGTGTACCTGAGAAGTACATAAACCTTGTAAAGGCTCTTTACTCGAACACTATTAGTCGAGTGAGAGCTTATGGCGAACTGTCATATTATTTTACAACCTCAAGTGGTGTCCGTCAAGGCTGTCCACTATCCCCGTTTTTGTTTGACTTCATTATAGACCTGTTGTTGGAAATAACACTCTCTTCGACTGAATTTACAGGGATTGATCTCCTACCAGGGGGACCACTAAGCGACTTAGAATACGCAGACGACATAGTCCTGTTTGGTGAAGACGCTGGCAAAATGCAGAGTCTTCTGTTGGAACTCAGTAATAATGCCAGGATGTTTGGGATGCGTTTCTCCCCATCCAAATGTAAATTGTTACTCCAGGACTGGCCTGCGTCAACACCCGAACTAAGGATAGGGAGTGAAGTAGTCGAACGCGTCAACAACTTCACTTATCTTGGAAGTCTGATCAGCTCTAATGGGTTGGTGTCTGACGAAATCTCAGCACGGATTCAAAAAGCTCGTTTGGCTTTTGCCAACTTACCTCACCTATGGCGTAGACGAGATATCCGTCTATCAATTAAGGGACGAGTATACTGCGCATCAGTTCGCTCTGTTCTACTTTACGGCTGTGAAACATGACCATTAAGAGTAGAAGATACTCGTAGGTTACTAGTATTTGACCACAGATGCCTTAGAAATATTGCTCGCATCTGCTGGGATAACCGGGTAAGTAATAGTGAGGTTAGACGCAGGGTATTAGGGAACGATGGTAAATCAGTTGATGAGGTGATGAATCTTCATCGACTGAGATGGTTGGGCCATGTGTTACGTATGCCTGAACACCGATTACCACGACGCGCTATGTTGACTAGTATTGGGGACGGTTGGAAGAGAGTTAGGTGCGGCCAAACCAAAACATGGCATCAGTGTTTGAAGTCACTAACTTCTAGCCTGAGCCATGTTGGCAGATGCAGACTACCTGGTTGGGGTCCGCGTGACTATCGTAACCAATGGTTGGAGACTCTAGGTGACATGGCTCAGAATCGATCACAATGGCGTAGGTGTATACACTCTTTATCTTCCCTTAAACCTCGAGACTAAAATTGCTTCATATCTCTCATCCTTCCTGTACTATATCCTTATATACAACCTATAATTTATATACTACTACCAACACTAAATTAACTACTATGAATCCGGTGTTCCTCTTGTTGTGCTAACGAGGTATGGCAACTTGGACCGATGCATATATGTGCCTGGTGCTACGTTGTAGCTGACTGACTGACTGACTGAATTTTTACTTCTGAGAATAAATACTTTATGGGTTTTGCTTGGTTGGTTGAAGTGTGATATGGGGACTGGTGAAATCATTTCATACGACAAGGAAATACTGATTATATTCTGAATCACCTGTCCAAAAGCAACCGGTTAAATACTTTAGTCGAAGTTCTTTGGTTCATTTCTGAACAGAGTAAAGGATTAACACTGATACTAATTCTACATCTATGTTGATGTTGTTATCATCTAATCCCTAGATTTCATTGATTTTGACATTGAAGATGATCTTGAAAGTAATGCCTTACTTGTATACTGCTATTCTGGTTTAATGTTTCTTTTTGTAGACCAAATGGTTTGTAATCTCTTTATATTTGACTGAAATGGCTAAACTAGGCGTATAGAAGCATAGTTTTCGTTAATAAAAGGTGTCCTAGTTGTTTAAGGAGTTAAAATTTCAACTATTAAGTCACAGAGTTGTGACCTCACTTGATCTACTTCAATTTGATCAGTCGGTGAGTATAACTCACAAAGTATATGGACCTCTCGTTGATGAGTTTACACTGCCAGTGTTCCATTACAATTTCCTTAACCTTTGTACTGCTATCAACCTTACTTCTACTGCCTCTTGAAATTGTTTTTTAAATATTTTTTTGCCTTCACAGTCATGGGAAAAATTTTCCTTATCATTAATACTGGATAGGTTTAGTGCATTTCGCAAAGAGGTTGGTTTTTCAACAACTCAGAATGCTTGATCATATTTTGTCATGTTGAGTCTATTTTCTATGTATTTGATTTAATACTAACCATTTGTTATATATGGAAACGAAGCTATATCATTCTGTGAGTCAGTTTCTTTTAATTTGAGAAAATGTGATGAGTTCATAAAATCAACCTGACTAAGAAATTTTGCATATGATGTAGTTTGAATTCAGTGTTAGAATATGAAGTGAATGAAATATGGTCAGTTATTTCTATTGAATCATCACTAGTTTTGTTTCGTTGGATAAATAAATCAAGCTGACAGTTTTATGATGAATAAAGAAGTTTATGACTGGATTCTCGAACCTGCTCCATCTGTTCTGTCAAAATCATTGTTTTATGTCAATGAATAGTTGAATGTTTATCATAGTATGATACTCAGCTTGTTGAAATATAATAGAACATGGGCTGTGAAACTGGAATAAATAGTGAAAGTTTTCGGAATTAAATGGATATGCGCTTCATTCAAAAAACACTTGGACTTTTTTAGAGGTGGATGGTGGCTAATAGCGGAATCTAGGACGCACTTTTCGTCCTATTTTCGGTTTATCAGATGAATATACTTACATCCCAGAGTTGATATTCACCCCAGGACTCGAACCCAATACCGTTCGCTTCAAATAGGACGAAACACGCATCGTGGATTCTACTGCTAACTGCTATCCATCTGTGTTTAAAAAATGCTTGTGATCTGTAATGACAATATCGAAGCAATCTGAAAAAGACTCATATTTGCCAAAAAGAGACTGACCGATTGCAGTCCTAAACATTAATGGGAAGATTCAAACCATCAATACATATGACTTAGACTGTATTCAAAGTTATTAATGTACAGTGTGTTTACTTTTTGCGTATCGAAGATTATCCATAGATAACTTACATTTCAAGGAAGCCAATCGTGAGATAAGCATTGGTTACATGCTGTTTCTCGGCACGTTCTGTGGTCCCCAAATGCCCTGGTACGGCTGAGAGTGGAGAGAGTCCACTCTTCCTCTCGAAATGCTCTTACATGGCCAGGGACGTCCTACTCACTGCTTTGTCGCCCCAAGGATGTTGTTTACGAAATTGAGAGTACAAAGGGCAAATGTCTGGCGCTTTAACCGGGTTGGTAGACACAGAGAGTCCACCTAGGGGAGTTGGAAAACTCTGATTCCAAACCAATGGTGCACATGGTATCCAGTATCCTGAGGGAACAAATGGTGTATGAATCAATCGTTGGTCATTGGCTATCGTGGGACTGTATCTCCTTACGATGCTCCATTGCCTTGTGGGTCAGAGCTTTATGTCGAAGGCTCCGGATGTGGTCCCATAGGAAAACCACCTGCTTTGGTCTGAGCACCCAAGCAATATCTCAGCCCTCACACAAATCAAATGAAATTTGTGTGGCGCATATCTATTTGGTGCCTCCTTGTACCAATATTTATATGTCTAAATAAATAAATAATAAATACGTTCTGTACAGAGAGTTATAACTGGTTTTACAAGACCCTGGAAAGAGTGATAACAATCAAATGGAGGATATCATGAAAAATTCACTGTATATAGTCAACTGTTATTGGAACGTTTGGTAACCGAAATACTACTTCATATCTATTCCATATTTTTTCTTCGATCTCGAACATATGGATGGACGTTGTGTCTGCAGTTTGATAAAGTCATTGTATTTGGAGATTGCCCTGACAGCATTGCAAAATATGTTGTGAATTACCGAGCAAACATTGGTCCCATCAAAGCTATTTGGAATAATCTTAGTGGGAACGATAAATGGTGAGATTGAAATAATATTACTCAAACTTTTTAGTGTGTTTATTTAGTTTCCTTTATGATAAGTGGATTTTAGGGTTAGATGGGTTACAGTAAACAACAGGAACTAATTAACTTTGATTTGAGTTTTCTTCTGTTAATCGGCAATTGAGTAAAATCCTAATTCATTCAAATTCGACATAAATGCGGAGACTTTTTGTAGGGACCTACTTAGTTACTTGCTCCTGTCATCCCTCGCAAAGCATAGGCTGCATGCCAGTATTCTGCAACCCACTCTATCCAGGGCACTCCTTTCTAGTTATTTACAAGTGCTATTGATTATTTTCATGTCTACCCCCAATTCCTGGTGCGATATGTTCTTTGGTTTACCTTTTTTCTTTTCTATTTGGGGATTCTAAGTTTGTGCTTTCATTGTGATACGGTATACTGGTTTCGATAAGTGTGTCCTACACATCTCCAGCTTCCTTTCCTAATTTCCTTCTCAACTGACAGTTGGTTCCTTCTATAACGCAGTAGGTTACTACTGATGGTCTCTGTCAAGTGAATCTGGAATACCTTTCATAGACAGCTGTCTACAAATACTTGAACTTTTTTGATGATGGTTGGTGCAACTCTCCAAGTTTCAGCTTCGTATGGCAAAACAATCTTGATGTTTGTGTTGAAAATTCTGATTTCTTTATTGGCTGACAGTTGTTTTGAATTGCAGATGTTCTTCGGTCGTTGAAATGTTGTCTTTACTTTGCAGATCCATGCCTTCACATCTGCATCAGATCCTTCTTGTTTATCAATGATACTAGCTAGGGGCATAAAACCTTTCATCTCTTCCAGAGACTCTTTACCAAGTGTAATTTGGTTTGTCCTCCGTGAGTTGTGTTTTAGGATCTATCCTTTTTCTCTTGTGAATGCTGAGACATACTGCTTCGGGGGATACTGTTACACTGGCTGTCTTCATCTGAATTTGTTGCTGTGTATGGGGTAGGAGAGCTGGCCATCTGTGGAACTCAAATCGTCTGGCTGCATCCCCTCAAATGTGGAGGTCTTCATAATCCAGTCAACCACCAGAAGAAAGAGAAATTAGGGAAGTTCTCCCTTGTCGGACTCCGGTCCTCACTTGGGATGCATCTGTCAGCTGTTCTCCATGCACAACTTTACAATGTAACCCGTCGTATGAATTGCGAATGGTGTTGACGATTTTCTCAGGTACATCGTAGTGTCGAAGTAGGTTTTGTAAGGTTTTCCCATCCACGCTGTCAAAGGCCTTCTCATAGTCAAGGGAGTTGATGTATATTGACGAGTCCCATTCAATTGATTGTTCAATGATGGTTCGTAGTGTGGCGATTTGGTCTGTGCATGATCAATCCTTACGGAATCCGACCTGTTGATCTCGAAGTCGGGCGACTACTGAATCTTTCATCCGGTTGAGCAACATTCTGTTGACAACTTTTCCTGGTACCAATGATATTGTAATGTCTCTGTAGTTCTCACACTTTCTCAGATCTTTTCTTGGTATCTTGATGGGATATGCTTCTTTCCAGTTCGTCGATGGCACTCTTTTGTCCTCCCAAATTTTTCTGAATAGAACGTAAAGCATGTTTTCGGTTGCTTCTACATCTGACTTTAGTACTTCGGCTGGTATTTTTTCCAGGTCTTGCTGTTTTCCCACTCATGATGGCCACTCTGATTCCTTCGATATTTGGTGAGGTGGCATGTATTTGAAGGTCTGTGTGTGCTACTTCGATGTCCGGTGGGGCTGGTCTGTTTAAGAGTTCTTCAAAGTTCTGTACCCACATGTTCCCCTGTTTTGTGATCGGTTTGCCTTTGTCCTTGACTGGTCTCTCTCGTTTACTATATTTCCCTGCTAGTTTTAGCATATGTTATATATATATATATATCTTCTAAAAATAATCATAGAATTCATGTCGGTTTGCAAGGATGATCAGTTTGATATAGATAGTAACTTTAAGGGTAAATGATAGATGGATGATATGAGATTGTTTGAAGCATTATAGTTAAAAAATTGTTTAGGTAGTATATTTTTCACATGCATTACAGCCGTGCAAAGTGTCAGTCGGGAACCGTTCATTCTATTTAAGTGGATATCCTGTTGATGGATAAATGGTGTATTTAAGGTAATTTTCAGTGCCATAAAGGAGTCATTATAGCCGCATAGAACTGAAGAAAACGAAACGGAAACATAGAGCTCAGAACAATAACAGCAATAATTTCTATGATAGGTCTATTGATATGCATGTGCCATGTTGGTTTATGACCAACTGTTTGGGTTATATATTACTTGAATGAGTTAAGTGTACCAGGGATGGTACAAGTGTAAAATATCTGCAGTTAGGGAGGTTTAAAGAGTGGGATTAGTAACATTAATGATCAAACATTTAATGTTCCTGTAACCTACTAGTCGAATAGGGTATACCTAAAGGTGTAAGGAAACATTAAGTACTTTCAGAAGTAAGCATCAGTACAACGAACGAAGGATGGTACTAATTTTATTTCAGAGACAGATTGCAGCCAATTATTCCACAGTCTAGCAAATCTAATTAATTAATATGAAGAGAAGATTAAAATTGGGATCGTTCCACTGAAGGTAATTTGTTACGGTTGGTATAACCAAGAGTTTCTGCATATTGAATTGGATAATTAGATATAAAAGATAGTTGACTAAGTATTCTGAAGAAAAAAAAGCAAATACAGTTTCAGTTCCCGTTCCATAAAGGTCGATTGCAAGCTTATTGCATCTGCATTTATAGTTTAAGGTACTGTCAGTCCCGAAAATTCGAAGTGTAATTCGCCTACGAACGGAAACCAGACTTAATTTGTCGCTTATCCGAACACCACGATCATTGAGTTGAGATCCACTGCTTAACATTTCTGATTCGAGTTGCCTAACTGAAGTCACTCCATGATGTGAACTGCAAGTGTCCTATACTAATAAAATATTGTATCACAAACTAAGATGTATTAAGTTTATCAATCAGTTAAAGTAGAGGTGTTATGATTGCTAGTATATTTAGTGTTAACTTTTTCAATACACACGCTGGTCATGTATAAATACCTTCTTTTTTTTAACTTAATCTTATTGAGATTGTATTTTAAAAAGCTAGCTCAGCGTAATTTGAACTACAGTGTTTACAAAAAAACACATGACCTACAATCCCTGACAAGAACATTTAGGTCTAACTGGTGAAAATCGAACGCCTAACATTTTAAACACATTCAGGTCTGAACAGTTAGGTCATGGGTTGGAACCCCGATCCAGTTAGTTTAGTTTGAAATCAAAGTTGATGGATGTTGGTCTGTATTTCATTGCTAACATGCGTCAACTGTAATTTTCCATCATACTTATGTAGTTAGTGGTTTTCGAGACACGTGTATGATAAATAATTTTCATCCCTTTAATTCTGGTTCATTATTTATTGATTAATTTTCCAAAGGTGCACTTCATTCCCAATGACGGGATGGATTGAATCAAAAGGATTAGTAGATAGTGTCTTCAAATATTTATCGTTACCGGATGACAAATGTTTAGTAGAACAAATCGATAAAATTGATGAAACTTACCAACTGAATTCCATGTTCGACCTGCCTCTTCAAGTGAACGTATCAAGTGAACAACAAGGTTATAATAAACTTTCTCAAATGAGATCAACTCAGTAAGTTGTGTTCATTTTTATTTCAAGTTTATAGTTGCTTACTGTACCAATAATTAATTGATTATTTGATAGAATGTTAATTGAATTATCACTATCTAATTGTGTTCATACAAACAATCGTGTTTGTTTAGTTTTTACGTCCATTGGCTTTAATGTTTAAACGATTCTGAACGTGATCTCCATTGATAGATCGCTATTAAAATGTTCGACTATTGAACCAGATGTTTTAAGTGTCAGCTACACTTTATTTTAGCTCTATAAAGTGTTAACTTTCAAAAGTGTTCATGAGCACAAAAATTATAACCTGAATATGAAAACAAGTATTTTAGAGGGGCGATTGAATAGACGGTTAGAAGTTTATAGTTATGTTTTCTATACTACAAAGTTTTCGTTTCTGTTGCGATTTTGAACAAGGGGATCTCGAATCCGGTTTGGGTTAGAAGGTTTGTCACTTCCCGACTGATCACACACAGCGAAAAAATACTTGATGAGGGACCTGAGAAGGAAACTGAAACAAAAGTAGTGGCATTGACAACTCAGGAGTGTGACCATAGAATGCTAGAGTCAACTGTTTTAGACCAGTTATGTTCGGAATTTTTTGAGTAGGTTTTGTTGTCTTGGCTCTGTGAGTTTTAGGCCTTTCCCACCGATAACGGAAATCTATGGAAAGGTGAGTTGTTCTATTTATAGGACCGAACTTTTCCAAACCCCTTTCCCTGTTGTTGGAGGGTAGTATCGATATATATTGTAGTTGTTTGAGGGAAACACCTTACTAACATCATACCTTGCATTCGGTGGTACGACTTTTACCTTGGATTTTTATTTTGATGCTTTAGGTCCTGACACTCTCCGATCAATCTGTTTGCCATGTTAGGATCTAAATGAATGAGTGTGGTTTCACTAGATCGTCATGAGATGCAAACTGCCATCACCCAGAGAGATACGTGAATTATCACAGTGCAGTAATGACATTACTAAAGAGCAAATAATGTAACTCTTTACACCCTAATTATCATCAAAGTTTCAACAGTAAGAATTTAGTTAAGCAGTTGCAATAACTGTAGCACAATGATTGAAATAAAATTTCATATCATATATGATACTTTAATATTTGTTTGTTTGTATAAATTATCTTGTTCTTTGTATTAACTTAGAGACAATTTCTGCCGCGTGTATATATCATCATCTTACATGGACATGCATGCGGAACGTGATCTGATTTACCATACTTTAGTGCCAAATTTGTGTCAAAATGTTGCACAAACATGCAGTACTTGCATTGATCTAGTTGATCTACGTATTGGTGTTCCTGAAACAATTACCTGTAGTCTTATGGCTTTGGAAATGTATTTGAAACAAGCAGCCGCCTCTGATATATTTGTTTTGTTATTGGGTGCCAAGTGAGTATCCCTTATGCATATATATTGCAGTCATTTCCTTACTGCAAATATAATTGTTTATCATAATATGAATATGTATATTCTTAGAAACGTGTATTCTTCCATATAACCTGAATATTCACTGTTCTGAAGGACAAATATTAAACTGCTAGAACAACCGATAACAGTCGTGTTCGTGCATATATGTGATTCCTGTCAATAATTATGTTCATAATGAATTCAAGGTGAATACAGTGAAAGGCTCTTGATAGCTTACTTTTGTTTATGAAGTTGATATATTTCATACAGCGGACGCTGTAGATGCTGGCTCCCTTGACACCTCCCAGACCTTCACATTTTCAATATTTGAGCCTGAAACTGAAATCAGGTGAAAAATATAAGAGAGTGGATTTTGAAAGATTACGAATTTTCCTGAGGTGCTAGAGGTTTCGAGAAAAGGTTCTAGAATTGTCGTTGGATGTAGTGATTGTCCAACCAGGTTCACCAAATATAATGAGATGGTTTCTAGATGTTTATAATACGCTACTCACGAAAATCGATTAGTCAAAGTGGTTTTTACACTTATTTCGGCTTATGTGGAATTTTCTTAAATAAAATACTCAGTGTTTACTGCAGACGTTAACGAATGACGTCTCGACAATCAACGCGTCGTTGAGGTAATTTTTAAACAAAATTGACTGTATAACAAATGTTGTCTATTAGATTGATCAAACGAAAAGACATTAATCTGTGTATATCATGTAAAATGTCCAGATATTCACTTAAATTGTCTAATCTCTTCTTTTACCTCTGATACTGTTACTAGCTCCACTACTCTGGGATAAGCCCTAACATTTCCATCTGTTTGAGCTGATGGGGTACGTCAACTTGAACTGATGTACATACGTACCAGGTTCCACATTACAATCGACTGACTGAATAGCTTACAAAATATACCGAATAATAATGAACGAGTGGTTTTATATGAAATTGTAAATCGTAATGTATTTGGAAGAAATTGAAAGGTGATGCAACATCGCGTATGGTAAAGTTTCTTTCAAATGAATGAATATTACCGAAATGAAAATGAATCAAAGTAGATCCTATCTGAAGATGATCAAGAAGTGTAACTCACATTTCAACAAATTCCTAGTCTAAGCAAAAGTTTAATGTTTCCATACAATACATATACTATGAGACAGTCATATGATGCAAGCAGTTGTTAACATATTGACTAAACGATAATGTAGTTGAATTTGTCAGCGTGTTAAGTATCTGTTTACTGAAAAAAATGTTTAGTTTTATTTCGTCTTGATTTTTCGACAGATATGGTTGGGTTCCCGATGAATCGCTAGTTAGAGCATTGCCTGATTCACTTTTAGCTGAAGTCAATAAATTTTACAAGCCTGGAATGTCTGTCACAGAAATGGAATATCATATGGTGAAACTAGCTGCCGTAAATAAATTGTCCAGAACAGGTTTCAGCATGTTTCCTTCTAGAATGTTTGTATTCATTCGAGATTTTAACACAAGGTTTGTTTCCTTATTTCGAAATGTCTCGTTATCAGTTGTTACTTGTAATACTTTGATGAATCTGTTTTACATTTATAAATGCAGCTTTATAGTTAGATGGTTGTCATCTCAAATTGTGATCAGTCGAGTGAATGTTATGTATTGATGATTACTGTGCTTAAAGTATAGTTTCTTACTGAAATCGACTCATTTAATCTGAATTATTGCGTCTGACTTTTCAGTAGTGGTAGCCTCTAGGCTTGTGATTCCAAGTACCATTTCTTAATGGCAGAAAAGTGATTTTTAAAAATCGTAATTTAAGTTTTTGGTCATAAGATTGGTAAAGTTATTGCCTTTTCCTCTAAATATTTGATTGTTAATTGAGCGTCTCCAGATGCTCTTACTTTCTGTATTGGTTCCCATTTATACTGTAATAACATGAGTTCGAGTTATTGGTTAGGATATAAATGCTTACACGTGGTTAGTGAACTGGATACCTTTAATTGAAAGAAAGATCTCAAAATCATTTTTGACGTTGGCATTGGGTTGAAAATACTCAACATACAACTGTAATAATCGAAATGAATCATCTTTAGTAATTATTTTGCGGCTAACATCAACATTTTTCACTACGTATTTTTAGCCCCAACATACAATACTTCGAGGTTGTCTATGATAGAATATTTACTACTTTCAAAAACACCATAATTTACTTTAAAATGTAATGTCTTTCAGTGAGGACAACTGTGTTACAGTTGGAGTAATTTAGTGTTCGTCTAAAGGATTTATTGACCATCGTTCCTCCAAGACTGATTAAACTATCAAAGAAAGTCAATTAATCAACTTCCCCAAATAATGCATTATATATTCCTAGGTGAAAAGTATTCCAAAACTTCAACATCATAACCCAATATACTCGGAAGAGTTTTCATTTGTCAGCGACTCTATATTGCTTGCTTGTTACAATCCTATTGGAGAATCTCGATAACAAGAACAAGTCTTACTTACAGAAACTTACTGAGAAACTGAATTAAAATGAAGAAATAAAAACAGATTTGCTTAACAACACTTGATGTAACTACTTCGTGTGACAACTCATTGCAAGCTCTGATCATATCACAATTTTTTGAATGATGACTCTTCAATATGATGACGTACTCGTTTATTCTACATATTTCAGCAAAATGCTGTCACGATACCTCTCAGGTAGATTTAAATATCACTACATCTACTTTCAATTTTTAAGAACGTAGCTAAAGTGAAGTATGGATAAATTTGTTTGTCGTAAAACCTGATTAGGAAGTCTTCCATTTGTACTTTTCATGTCAGCCTGTTGACATTCTACTTAGAGTGCAGAAAACTCGTTTGGTACCTTTTGAGTGTACTTGACAAAACTATATTTCGGGTGTAATTCATCATTATTTACGCACTTTTGTAAAAGCTTATCCCACATGAAAATATCTTTCTTGAAATAGAAAACGTTTATTAAGAGAACTGGGTTGTTTTGTTATAGTAAGTCAATACGCTTGTTCCGTCAATGTGATATTCTGAAAACTATCGAAATGTAAGAATTTAATGTCCATTTCCTTTGAAGAATCCATTCACTTTATATATTCTGTTGCATTTCCTTTTTTGTTGTATATATAATACCACTTGGAATATCTAATAAATCTATACTGTCCTTCTTTGTTAACTACGAAATTGTAATCCTTTTCTATCATTTCTTTTAATATACGTAACCTACTTCCTATATTATTCATAATGCATCGAAAAATCAGTTTCGGTTAATCTTGTTAAGATCATTTTAAAAGGCCTATGTCATCAGAATTACTATCGAAATCAAACATAGTATTCTTTTTACCAAACGTTTTTAGTGATATACCGAATGAATATGGACAAATATTTCGTGATCACGATCCAGTCAATCTTCATCACCTCGATGCGTTCAAACAACTCTTACTGAATGATGGAGTTTCTATCCTCAGGTATTCTAGTTTAATTCAGTGTGTTGTTTAATTATTCTTGGCATGGCTCAAAATATATATTTCAACTCTTTTTTTTTCAGGCGATCACTTTCTGCTGGAATATACTTTTTTTAGATCATATGATTAGGCTTGTGAAATTAGTGTAGCTCCTGTTGACACCACATTTTCCGCGATGGATAAATTGGTCATAATGCTTTGACTGTCTTTCTAGGCAGGAAAAATCAACCTAAACATCACAGGGGAAGATATTTTTGAATATTCTGTTCTCTGGAGATTCTTGATAGATCCCACTGACTATTTTTATCAGCTTTTGTGAACACTCCATGTAAGCTTAAATCCCTCACATTGACGATAGTCTATAGAAACACATTTTGCATCCTTCATTATTATGAAGAGAATTGTTATCTATGTCACTCTTTAGGGTCTTGATCCACGATGTGACTTTTTTCAGTAACAAAATTTTGAAAGCTTTTTTGAGAACCTGTGTGGTTGTTCACTGAATAGCACACTTGTTCTAGTTCAATTTCATAACTACTTCCAATTAAAATGATATGGAAAATAGTAAAACATGTTACATAGACTATCTCATACTCCAATGATGAAAAATCTGTTTTATATTCCATTTGATAGTTTTTTTATGAAACGTCTTTTGGTTTGGAAAGATTATCATATAAAATCTTGTTATCATTTCAGTTATTCTGCTCAATTCATTGGTGTAATTGATGACCGTCCGATGGTGGGAAATCTAGATAACTTTGCAAGTCAATTTCTATCAACACTAGAATCAACACTCAAGAGATTATATTATAACCCTGTAAGTTTGTTTTTTTGGTACTTACTCGCTAATCATATTTTTCCACTCAATTTATATTTGTCATAAAATACTGTTTTTTGTCTAAAAGTGATTACACGTGGCCATTTTTGTGTTCGTAATTCCATGTAGTTTGATATCAGCAGTTAGTTCTTATCGATCCTACCATTTTTGAATTATGCTGATAATTGTCTTTCATTTATTGGTAAATGAAAATCTGACTTACGCCTGTTACCGCTCTTGGCAGAGCGTAGGCCGCCCACTAGCATTCTCCGTAGAACTCTGTCCTGGTCAATCCTTTACAGTTGTTTCCAGTTGCTATTGATACTTTCGATGTCTGCTTCGAATTCTTGATGCAGTGTGTTCTTTGGTCTTCCTTTTTTCTGTTTCCTTTCAGGATTCCAAGTTAGTGCTTGCCTCATGTATTTTCCGATCAGTCTCTGCCACCTTCTTTTTGGTTTATCTTCCAGCTTATCAATACCCGGAAGATTTTTATTATTCTTTTGGTAACCTCCCATAGTAGGCTTTTGCTGATGGTATCTGATCGACGGACATAGAGTATCTTGCGTAGAAAATTGTTTATAAATACTTGTACCTTTTTGATGATTGTTGTAGTAGCTCTCCAATTTTCAGCTCCGTACTGTAGGGCTGTGTTGATGTTCGTATTGAAGATTTCGACTTTGATATTGGTTGACAGTTGTTTTGAGTTCTATATATTCTTCAACTGTAGGAATGGTGTCCTTCCTTTGCCAATCCTCGCCTGTACATCTGTATCAAATCCTCCTTGTTCATCGATGATGCTTCCCAGGTTCGCGAAAGATTCTACAGTTTCCAAAGTTTCTCCTCGTGAAAATATACAACCAAATTATTTCTTGATTTCGCCTTACAAATTGACGGATCTTTAATAATTTTAAAACATTTTGTAAATGTCTTCTATAAATCATTTTAATCACTAACTGACTACTACCTTACTGACTAATGCATATTATTTATAGTTTCATCAATTTCTTGTTGCAAATTTCAATAGGTAAACGACGCTTTTAAACTGCCAATGGTTACGTCATCTGATGATAATGATGAACTGATAAATATTTCAGAATTTTTTGCAACTTATGTAAATCCAATAGCTTGTGATATATCACCACGACATTTGTTAAATATACAACATGCCTTTAAAACAATGACTGGACAATGTGTTCCGATATATTTCACTGGTCAACATATAAAATCTGATGAATCCTCAAGTACAACTTCTAAAAAAAAGAGAATTGAAGATAGAACATCAAATTATCAAAGTTAGTTTAGTTTTAAGAAAATGAAAATATTTTGACAACCTTTGCTATTATATAGTCTATCATATTGTCTAGTTGAATGCTTACTATGTAAAAGTTGCGAATGAATCAGTTACAGAGTATATTTTTTTAGAGGATGTATGTTATGTTTGTAACATATTCATCGCGTTTTTAGGTATCATTAGAAGTCAGAGTGCACTGGACAACTGTTTCACTGTATTATGGGAGTGCTTAATATTGCTCAAGTGTTTTGCATGAAATATGAGAGTTTTAGTTGTAATCAATGTTTTGATCATGGGTGTGCACTGATAAACAGATTAATCTGTGATGAATACAACCTACAAATCAAACCAATCTTTTGTCATAGCTTGAAAGTAACTTTATGCTAAAAGATTGTTCCATAATTTTCTTGATTGAGTGTGATTTATGCCATGGATGTGAGTCATTTAATTCGGTTTATGTTTAGATTCTGGTTTATGAAGATGCATGCATAATAAGTGTGCTAGATAGATGTCTACATGTGGATTGTTCCATGTATTGAAAATGAGAAATTTTCGATACATCACTGGACATCGTTAGGCTTGAATTTTTGACTGATGATAACTGATGATTAGCGTCAACTGAACAGGGAGTCATCATTAGTGTAATTGATAACTTTTAATTAAGCTTCATTGAAGTTAACAGATATATGTGAGGACTGTTTAAAAGAGAAGCATTCCTACCAATGAAGAACATCCGGACCACAAAACTGTCAGCTAACATAAAAGTCAGAATCTTCAATACAAACGTCAAGACAGTTCTACTGTACGGAGATGAAACTTGGGAAACTATAACAACCATCATCAAAATAGTACAAGTAATTGTAAACAGCTGTCTATGAAAAGTACTCCAAATCCATTAGACATAGACCATCAATAATAACCTACTAAAGCAAATAGAAGTTGATTGGAGAATGCTGGTCCGCGGCCAATGCTCCACGAGTGTTAACTTACATAAACTAACTACACTCTAACTTGTATGAAGTATTATTTGAAACTAAGAGCAAATCTTCGTCTTTAATTATTTTAATATTTGCCTCCATGAAGAAAATTAATTTGATTCACGTTTAAACATGTAAGGGTGTGTTTACAATTTGTTGAACAATACTTTTTATGATATAACATTGCTCGCATACGTATAATCTTATCAAGACCATGCATTCATGTTACAAGATACAAGGTACACTTGAACAATTATATATAGAAATGAAAACATATAATCATCTTAATGTTTATTATTATTATTATTATTACAATAGTTGTTGAGTTTTTCTCTTGTTTACTGAGCATTAATGCACAGTAAACATTTTCTCAAGTAAACAAAACTTTCTGCTAATCATCTTTGATCAGTTGTATTTGTTGTTTTGTTTTTAATGCATGTTCAGATGATTAAATTCATAATTATTGTTATGAAGTTTTAAAATGACTGAAGTAGAATTTCTCCCTTCCCTCCGTCTCCCTCTCTCCGGATCAACATGCGAAATAGATAGATGTGAAACTAAATACTTCACTCCCATCTTATTTCTTAAATAAGTGTAACTAATTTTTGGTAGCCCTTATTACTTAGTATTTTTCCTAAAGCCGAATTCGTTGTTTTTAATCGGACGTTTTTAAAACCCAAATTATGTGAAAAACAGGCTGTGACGTTACATTGGAATATGATGTTGAGAAGTTCTGTGACTGAACGCTCGAATCGGTTTCCTAAGCTGTTTTATTAACCACGAGCTAAATCTGCACGACAACATGATGACGATGAGTGAAAAGGCACGAAGTATGAAAAGAACACTTTACTCCAAGGTTGATTAATGGGCTGACGTAAATGTACATTTACGACCATTACTAGCTTTTATGAATCAGGATTTTTTATCCATAAAAAGTATGCATTTGCCAAACGTATATTTGGACATGACCACACATGACCATTTGAAGGGTAATACAAGTTAGTCGATATCTCAATCCTTGAACACATCAAAATTGAAACTTTCTCTACCTCAGCCTATTCATCATTTTATTAGTGTTGCTATACAATCTTTATCTTAACATCAGTAACACTGATTTATTTTCATAGTTCCCACATGATTTCGTTTGTTAGTTTTACATAAGGCATTATATGTATTTTTTCAACTATCATTGAATGTGATTTTTAAATCGAAACTACTATTGATCAAAAGCGAATATAATCAGTCATTTGTGTTTCCTGTGTGGTGATTGTTTCTTTCTTTTAACATAAAAAAACATGTGATACTTCTATCAGTCAATTTTAGCTTCTACTCAATGGTATTCGATTAGTGTTTCAGTCGATAGTTACTTAGTTGTCTTTTAACTACCAAGTTGTATATTGAAATCTGACTTTCACTAGTTCAGCCTACTTGACGATTGTATATCGTCACTACTGTCGTCAGATTAAAAATTGCTCTCCAAAACAAAATAAAATAATCTCATACAGGTTCTTCGACTATAGATTATTCTTTTCCGTTTTGGATTGTTTCAGTACTACATATTCCTTTTGTATTGTATGCTCTCTTTTCTGTCTAATAATTTTATTAATTTAGTCAGTCATACATAAGTTGGAACCAGAAGTATATGTCCATCGGTCCAAGTTGTCATATATCACATTATGAAATTACGAAGAGTAGTAGTGCGACGTATGCTACTTATGTCTGTCAACATAAGTAGTATGTAACACCAATCAGAAGTGGAATGCCTGGCGGCAGAAAGTTGAGAAGATTGGATTGAAGAGAACAGGAATAATATCAGTGGTGTTGTTGGTAGTAAAGGTCTAAGGGATTAAGTAATTTAAAAACAGATAATCCAAAGGAGGACAAAGAGTGCATACTTCCGTTCCATTATGAACTATCCTTAGCCATTTCACCCAATGTCTCCAATTCCACTGATCATGGATATCGCTCTGACCTCAACCAAGTAAATTGGATTTATTGACTTGGTTCAGACCAACAGCCATTCACTTGTTATAGACTGATATTCCATATCTTAGTTTGCACGTCGCTGTTTTTATAACCTACTTGTACACCAGGAAGCATCTTTCGTAGATGTAGGCAGTGGTTAAGCCTACGTGTCATGCCTTGTTGATGAACATCAACTGACATGAAATGATAATAATAATTGTCTTATTCGATAAAATATGTTTAATCATAGCTAAAAAATTCTCAGAGAGAAATGTACAACATTGCAGCACCTAACTTATGGATATACAAAAATCTGCAGAAAAAGTTATAATACTATAATTAGCTGCTGTACATATTCATCTGTAAAGGTTTATAAGCATTTGTCTTGCTCATATGAAATCTCTTTTCATCTCAGAATATATTTGATGCATGAATTTTATAGTAATTATATCAAGATCCCCTAAACGACAGAGGAGAAAGAGGAGGCGACAAATATGCAAACCGTTATAGTGGTACTTCTCGAGTTTCTCAGTAATTAGATTCATGATAGTGGGTTGTGAACATTATATGGAATCGTGTAAGTACACTCTAATGTAATTAGATCACTAAAAATATTTTACCGTGGAAATGTTGACTTAAAAGTTTAAGTTCTGTTTAGTGTAATTCTACTTTCTTTGCATATATATATATATATATATATATATGTTAACTGTGCCTTTTTTATGTGTGGATTTCGGTCTTTAAGACAAAAGTGGAGAGATTTTAGTCATTACTGGAAGTCCTGGAAGTGGAAAAACTGTTCATCTGGCTGCATTAGCAATGTCGTTGGCTAAAAGTGATCATCAGTCTACTTTGATGAGTTCTGAAGATTGTACTCGATCAACAAGTACCACACGGAAATCAATCTCAAACAGTCAATCATTGGCAAAGTATCAAATTTTAATTCATTTTACCAGTGGTATACCAAGTACAGGTTTACCGTCGTGTAAACAATTGTCTAAAGTGCTTGATCATTGGATCAAATGTCTAGCTGCCCAGTTACAGAATTTATTCAGTTCATCAAATATTCTTAAAATGTTTCTTTCGAAGATCAAAGTTAATTTGAATAGCGCAAATACAGCAAATGATCACCATAATCTGAAGTAATTTTTTTCATTTCACTTATTTGACAGAATGATATTAAATTTGTAAATGATTACCTGACTATTGTTACAATCACGTCTACTAGATATAACATAGAGAGGACCATAAAATATGAAAAAGCACTGTATAGATGTTTTAACCTAATTTAAGACCTCTTATCGGCATACATTTACTAACTTAGAACCTAGTATCTATAAGTTACCAATTCATCATTCTTTGAAGTGTTTAAATACAACCAGGAACAATAAGTTAAAGACATTGTTCTACACATACTGACGTCAACTGAGAAATCGTTGAAAAATAGAGAACGTTGGACAGATGTTCCAGTGAGGTTCACGACTCCTCGACAGCTTACATCCATGATACGTTACATTAGACTGAAATCAGTAGTTTCAGGTTTCGTTGCAATTAAGACACTTCCAGACCTTTTAACCCTGGATTCATTGATCACCATCTTTACCTTAGTGAATTTATGAAGTACCGTAATGATTAACAAGCACTATTACTAATATTGCATATGTGTGCCCGGTCCTACGTTGTATCTGACTGACCGACTGATTACTTATATTTGTCTTGTTCCTGACATGGTTGAAATCCAGTTTTCTAAGGCTTTGTATGGAAACTTCAGTTAATCATCCAAAAGTCTTCCAGTCATGACACAACCAAAAAATAACTATAAATGTCTGTCTACTTACTTATTTTGTAAAATGTAGTTTTATGTGTGTGTGTTTCTTTCGTTGTAGATTGAAAATGCTTTGTTTTAATAAAATGATATGGTTTTTGGGTTATATACCTGAATTGAATTATGCTTTTCTAATTGACGATGTAGACCATCTTGATCCGTTGATATTAGACGATTGGCTACCATCAGTCTTACCAAAAGTAAGTGTTCTTTTGAAACAATTAATAACAATATTATTCAAGGTTACGTTTTTAAAAAAGTACTCCGCCCGTAGCTCTTCTAGAGTTACTGCCGGTCCCAAGCCCGGTTAAAGGGGGAGGGTTGGGCATGGGGTTAGTGACCGCATTGTGTAGAAAACCCTACTCGCTAAAAAAACGTTAACCAGAAAAATACGTTTTAAAATCGTTTCGATCAGTAAGTAAACTTGACAAAATAATTAAAGCTCGTAGTATGTAGGTTATTGGGTTGGTACTGGACCCGGTTTGTCGTGACATTGTAACTTCAGCGAAAGTTCATTCTCGTGAATGAAAGCGTCTCTTCTTTGTAATTGGTCGACTAATTTGAAAAGAATTAGACGGAAAGGCAACATTATTTATGTTGTTCGTAAATTCAAAGGCATAATTTTAGTATATGTGATCATCGTCAGTATGAAAGATGGTAAAATAGTTCAAAATACTAATTGAAATTCTATTTGGTTAAGTCGAAGTAAATTTTGTATAATTGATCGTTGGCTAATTTCTTGTTGAACCAGTCATATTCTATTGGTTGAAATTCATAAATTAGTAATCATATGTCATACAATGATGTGATTTATCAAGGATAAAAGTCTTATGCAACACAAAAACACACCGGTAACATTATAAAGACGAATGGTATTGCATCGTAAATTGAAATGGCATTTTTTCATACTTTGGCAAATTTAATCACTGAGTAACAGTCAGTCGGTCAGTCACAACGTAGAACTTCCTACGTACGTACATCAGTTCGAGTTGCCATACCACAGAGATGCAGGTGTCGATTGAAATCCCATAGTGGTAGTAGTAGTAGTAAGAGTATAAGCATTATGTGAAAGATTAGGGTTTGAAGATGTTATTGAAGGAGTATAATACAGTGAAATAAATTTGAAAAGAGAAAAAAGGTAGATACTTGAAGAATTCAGAAGATTAGAATTTGGTAGAACACAACGAGCGGATGCACCTTCGCCATTGCAAACGATTTTGAGCCATGTCATTCAAGGTTTCTAACCATCGGTTGCTATCATCTCGCAGATCCCAACCAGGTAGTCTACACCTACCAACATGGCTCAATCCACTTGTCAGCGACTTCATGGATTTGTGCCACGTTTTGGTAAACGAACACAATATGGCTGAGTCATTGTGTTATAATATAAACTCTCACATCTCCAACTTCATGGAATTTTATCCCTGAGTTGCTATCCCATTCTCGTTTTGGTTGGTTTCATTAGTTTCTACTTCGCGCTACATCATCCAGTAATTCATCTTTAAATTAGTCTACTAAACGAACTCTGGATCTGATTTCCCAGCCGCTTCTAATAACCTCAGGCTAGATCTACACGGCAACTTGAGCTTAAAAGAAAAGGCGCTTAATTAGAAAAAAACTTTACTTTAAGGTTAGTTTATGTACGGAATAACGATGGTATTCACATATTTACACACGACTATGGGCTTTTAGAAATCCCTTGAACCACACTAAATATAGTATATGCTGTACATAGTTTAGGTAACATGACTATTCACTTCCTAGATGTCACTGAGAAGCTCCTATTCAACGCAGATAGGGTAAAATGTTTCATGGGCCTCTAGAGACAATGTTGATAAATATTCCACGACTCCTCAAGGTATAAATTTATCAAATCTGTAATCTAACTATTTAGTCTGTTAATGATTTGGTGAGACAATCAGAAGTAGCTAAATGAGAAGGTCACTTGATGACAATCTGAAATGATCTGAAGGATGAATGAATATCATCGACTAAGAAATGGATTGATTTTCTAAGGGGTAGAGATGTATATATATGAATGAGTATTTGTGCATTTTATTCGGTAGCCAATATAATTTCTCTTCCACTCTTGTGTTCTTGCTCAACTAGTCGACTAGAAGGGGGGTGACTTTCACGCGTAGCACATCGTGTATCAGTATCTGGTTTCAGACACTATCATGACAGTTAACATTAAAAAAATATTTAAATTTCGAGTACTTTATCGATAAAAAAGTATTAGTCAATGTTTTTTGTTTGTCCATTATTTCTTTCTAATCAGAATGTTCAGTTCATTTTTACATGCGAATCTAATTCGAAAATCATACAAAAATTAACATGTCAATATGACAACAAAACTTGTTCAGTGTATCAGATACCCCAGTTAACTTCTGAAGAATGTCGTTCTGTTATATTGTCTCATTTACAAAGTAATGGAGTGTCTTGTGTTCCTTCTCAATTGGAATATGAGGTATGTTGAAATGAATAATTGTTTTGTGATAAAAGTGTTATATCCCGATAACAATAGTGAATGGTAACTTTGGGATCCATTTATTTATGGACCCATATTATGCATATAATTTTTATCATATATTTGCTAAATAATTAAGATATTCATATTCATGTTCCTTTCATTGTGAACTTTATTTTGACTTATGAACTATTGTCATACGATTTACCATTCCTGAGATATACTCATTAATTACTGCTCCCCCTATTCACAGCCACATTTGGCTAACCCTTGTACAAATGTTATTTTCTATTTTATTGGTACGTTGTGGCCAGTCTGTTTGGTATATAAACTCAGTATGTTTGAAATACAATGATTCATACCGTTGAGGCTGTTATTGGTGTTTTGGACTTGACTGGCTGGGCTAGACAGAAGCAGGATCGATAAGCGCTCTAGACTGCTCGTACGGTTTTCGTGTGTCACTGTTCCAATCGATAATTCGCGGCTCTCTGATTGGCGATCTTATCACATCACACATTAACTAGGCATCCACTCAGTCACAAGATATATCAAAAAGCTAGTCATTGAATAAAAATCTAAATCATAAAATATTCATTTTTCTATGGAAAAAAAATTGAAAATCTGCTTTTATCCTCCATCTTATGCTTTCTTGTACACTACTTTTTAGATCGCTGTACTAATTTCAGCTTGTGAGTCAAATAATCCATCGTATTTCTATATGGTTTGTAAATATCTACAATTATGTGGAACTCATGATGAGGTTTGTCATTATTATGAATTTTTAATATAATCATGATTTATATCATTATTAGTAAGAACTTGAATTATCCCGTTGTTGATATTTTGGACTGGGTTTCGATCGTTCTATATAGCGATCGACACTAGGATGCAGGCACATCCACCTGATGAGTGTCCAAATAGGTTGAAACGCTTATCCTAGATTCAGCTGTTATCTATAATCCACTTGTTGTTTAGAATATACATTTGTTTTCTTTTGGTTAATTATTTACGTATATTGTTGTTATTAAATCCGAGTTGCCATTGTTTTATCTGATACTCTTACATCTGGTCGACTTGCACTTGTATATACGTATCGATTTTGTTGGGTCCGCACGCTTACTGCTCATATTTGACAACCAGACAGCACTGGAATTCCTTGGTTCTACTGCTTGTTCATAGAAATAGAATCCACTGCAATTCCCACTACGTAAATTAAAAACACGAAAAACTGGTGCAATGAAGACGTATTGAATCCCTAGAAGCACGTCCTCTAGCGAGTCCCAAAATCACATCATCATTAGGCCAAAATGCAATCATTTATATACTGTTTTGTACACACAATAATATCATGTGGGGGAAAATGCACAGAGTTACCGTGAAACCACACATACTAAGTAAAGTTCAACTGAACTGATACAGAGTATATAATTGTCAAACTAGATGGAGTTTATACTGAATCAATACAAGAAAATATTGGCTTAAATAATGTCATCTTTTTATCCTGTTATATTAATTGCTTAGTCAGCAATGGCTCTGCTCCTGTATTTTATTCATATTCAGTAGTGCTTAAAATGCTATGGTTTACTTGTATTCTCATCTTGTGAAGACGAGATTGAACAAGGTCGAGGAATTTCACTGATCGATTTTCATAATTTCCCTTAAGGCTTTTAGGATGATAGTGATGTTGGTCTGTTTTTGGTATTTCTAGGAACAGATTTCAAATTTCCGTCTGCACAATCGCTCACTTGATTTATTTTGTTATGAAATATTTTCAACTATTTGCAAGATATATTATGTGATTGGAACGCGTTTGGGATATCACTTTCAATAATAAATATCTGGAGATGTTTTGAAAGTTAATATATACAAAATGATCGTATTTTTCCATTGAAATCATGAATCGGTCTAAGTAAGATCATCATTAAGAACCTGGATGCACTGGACTGTCATTTTGTCTTTGTGTTAGACCCCTCACCAACCAAAAGCGATGGGAGATTGTTGCGCAATGTCATGCATTGATTGAAGTTAAACACAAACACAGTGGTCTAAAGGTTAACCGTTCATGTGCGATACTGAAGGTCCTTGGTTTGAGTCCCACCTGCAGGATCGTGGATGAAGACTGATGAGGAGTCCTATATTAGGATGAGACGGCTGTCCAATGCTTCCAGGTTTTCCGTGGTAGTCTACTTAGATCGGTCCATGATTTTAATGAATTTCAACAATCTCCACAACCTCATATTAAAGAGTGTTGCAGTAAGTGAGGTTTTCAGAAGATATTAGTCTATGTTTCTTCATTATATACATTTGAGGATATATACTACTTTCCATTGTCTGTAATCGCTCAATTAGCTTTTGGTAGTATGTTACTTGTTACATTTAAAAGTGTAGAATAGCTTTTTCTATTTTGTCGATATAACTTCAATTATTAATCTTCAGTAAAACTAATAACTTTTGTCAAGATCGAACTTCTAACTTTAAATTCATCTGATGGAAATCATCATTGTTCTTGCTCTTATGATACTGATTAAAACATATTCATCCATAGATCGCTCAATATTTCCATACACTCTAGAATTTGACTATCGTGAACATCCTAACTTCATTTATCTGTAAATCTCTGCTTATAAATTATCTATCCTTTCATTTTTATTGTTTAGGTGAAATCTCATCTGAAAATGTTATCTGGCACAATTGATCAGTTAATAGATCAGATTATCAAAAATCTTGAAGGTGAATATAAAAACGACTTGATTATTGCAACACTGGCTTTTTTAATCTTTTATCGTCATTCATTATCAAGTAAAGAACTTTTAATTCTTCTGAATGAATGGCTTATTACTACACAAAATATTAATGAAAAATCAATTGAAATCAATTGGGAGAATAATCCATGGAAAATGCTTTCTATCATCCAGGATAAACCGAATGATTTACAATCTATATGTATACTTGAAAGTAATATTAACCGGTTTATTCTATCAAAACATTCAAACCAATTAAAACAATTACATTTAACTCCATTTACATTTCATATTCTTCTTAGTAGATTACATCCATTAATGATTATATTCAATAAGTCATTACATTGTTTCAATAATACATTCAATGATAATAATAATAATAATAATAATGTTATCTCATCTGAAAAGATGACATTAAATAAGAAAATTGAATTATGGAATTTAGGTGCAGAGAATTTATCATTTCTAAGTCATTCCATTGAAAAAGTAGTATTCAATAAATTTTTTGAAAACCATGGAAATTATATGTACTCAGAGTATACGTTTAATACTACTATTCATAAAATACTGGCTATTGTTTGTTCGGATTTAGATGATAAACTATATCATTTTGTAAGTTGATTTTAAATGTAATCACATATCGTATATATGTATATATGCATACGACAGGTATATGTGCACTACTGAAGAGCTTCATAGTGAAACAAAATAACTGTTTAATGCTTTTTAGTTTTTCAATGATTGTTTAAAGAAGATCAATTCATGACGGCAACCATCATATTACTTTGTACTGTGTGTGCTATGAAGAGAAATGTGATTGTTGTTTACGATAGTTAAGCTGGAAATTTAGCCATAAACCTAATACGTGGACCGTAGCTGAATGGGTTATTTATTTATTTATACACATAAATATTGGTACAAAGGGGCACCAGATATATATGTGCCACACAAATCTCATTTGATTTGTGTGAGGGCTGGGATACTGCCCGGGTGCCCAGACCGGAGCAGGTGGTTTTCTTAGCGAGCCATACCGTAGCCTTTGATCTAAAGATCTGACTCACAAGGGAGTGGAGCATCGTGAGGAGATGCAGTCCCATGGTAGCCAGTGACCAACGATTGATTCCTACGCCATTTGTTCCTTCAGGATACTGGAGCCAATGTACATCATTGATTTGGAATCAGTGTTCCTCAACTCCCCTAGGTGGACTCTCGGTGTCCATCAACCCGGTTAAAGCGCCAGACATTTTCTTTTCGTCCTCTCAATTTCGTAAACAACACCTGTGCTGCGAGAAGGCAGTAAGTAGGAATTCCCTGGCAGAGTCTATATATTCGCGTGGCTATGTGAGAGCATTTCGAGAGGAAGAGCGGACTCTCCCCACTCTCAGCCGTACGAGGGCATTTGGGGGCGCTGAATGGATTGAAGAAAGGTGAGTTTTAGTCACTCTATTGATTGTATATTGTACAATCAAATCTGTTATACATATTCATAATAATCAATGAAGATATTACGATTTATTACATAGTGAATAACTTATCAATAGTGATAATGCAGTTCACAAATCAACAACTCATCTGTCGATTTTATTCCTCAGATCAACATGAAACCATTGATGGTGTGGAACGCATGACTGTTTTCTAAATTCTTTTGTTAATTTTTAATTCCAAGAGAACTTAGTGATAAGTTTACTGGTTTTCGGTAATATTTACCTATAATCTATAGCCTATATGAAAGATTGAATGTTATAATTTCTACTTCAGACTTTTTATTTAATTCATCATTTCCAAAGTTGACAGTTTAATTAGCTAAGTGTAATGACTAAGTACACAGTTGACTGAAATTCCGGAGTCTACACAATGTTCGTAAAGTGCTAAATCATTAAGAAACATAGCATTGATTGTCAATTAACTGCTGCCCTCATGTTTTTTTGGTTGAAGTACCATAAAGCGAAATCGATATGATATCTATCATGGCGACTCTTTATCAGAGCTTTGTAAACGTTGGTTAGATACTGAACATATTTTTCTCCATAGTTTTATTATTTTGAATGTTTCGATATTGAAATGGATCAATGATTCCTTAAATACATGTAGATATATGCTTTGAGCATGATAAATTAATGTATGATGTATGAAATGTGAAGACTTGGAATTCTTTTTCGAATAGGATGTTGTGATGACTAATTGTTGACCATTTGAAAACTGTGATCAAACAACATTAGTTGTTCACTTCCTTATTCCTTCTTTATGCCTTGTTCGTTATGTTTTTCTTTTCAAGCTGTATGCTGATGAATTGGATATTATTTGTCATTTGCTCACTAGCCCCATGTTTATATGCAGAATTTTAAGAGATTATCCGTCAACATTGATGAAATTTCTCAATGGATATCGTAAGTGTGATTATTTTAAATTTGAATACGTTTACGGATTTGTCAAATATATGTCCATTATGCTAATATTTTGTTTCAAAGTATCGCCGACTGATGGCAATTTGTACAACATCCCCTGAAAAGGTACGATTATTAGATACTGGTTTAATTCAGGTGTGCTCGTCAACTTACAAATAAAAACACCTCGTTCAGGCTGTCCTATGATCAACAACTTGGATCGATCGTCCAAAGAATGCCATTGGTTCGAATGTGAAGACAACCCAAGTTTTCTTTAAAATACATAAATTATTTTAATCATTACTAATTAAACTCTGTTTGAATTAATGTTGTTTTCTCAGCTACGAATGATCGATGTATACAAGAAAAGTGGAAAAGGAAACTAGAATCATGTCCTTTCGGTGACAAAATTGATGCGATGAACAAGTTTATTTGTGTAAACTATGAGTTTTTAGTAAAGTAAGTTTCATATTTACTTATATCATTAATTAACCATGTATTGTGACCCACAGTTATTGTATAAGGGTTTATTATAATAATTGTTCAATGTAGATGTTCTGAAATAAATTTGTATGGAGACTGCAGTTGTTTCATTTATTAGGATATCTAATTCATGTCTGTATTTACAGTATATCATCTTGCGTCACCTATCAAGTGCAGTACAACATGAAAATTCGGACTGGTAGCTAATTAAATTGATGATTTACTCCATTCACTAGTTACTTTAAATTTTACAAATTAGAAAACAATACTTTCTTCTTAGATCGACATTGCTCAAAGTTATGTAAACCATGACCATACACAAGTTTTAGATTAGTAAATGTTTATGGTTTTGATATTCGGATCTGTTCATTGTAAATACTGATTCCAAACAAGTATTTGGTAACAAAAGTAAATGAACATCATGTTGTAATAACGTCAAATGAACATGAATTATAACTACACTATGTGAAGAGCTGTACACCCAACTTCTCATAACAACTTCTATGCAGCATTGTTTCTATAGTTTCAAACATTTTGGAAATACTACACGGACGTTTGATAGTCAGACTGAAATCTTTTCTCTCCTAAGCACGTTTTTCAACTATTCCCAACTTTATATTAATACAGACTGAAATAAATTTACGAGTCTTGCATAAGTTAAATCATTCTCATTAACACATCAAAATGTTACTATTGTTGTCTAAAATGATGCTTTTTATTCTCTTACTCGATAGATATCCAAATTCGTTTTGCGAATTAGCTATCAACCAAGATTCCAGTGAATGGATCCATACGTTAGGCCTCTCATTGTTGTATCTTAATGATTTCGGTGTACAAAGTCAATTAGACATTAACAATAGTCAAATACTCTTCCGTGTAAATTTATCAAAATGCACTCTGATTAAACCTATGCAGAGGAATATGATATATAAACCGATTGTAACTTCAAATGGTTCCATGGATGTGCCAACATCTGTGGAAATGAATTCAGCTGCCAAAGTATTGGTGTATGGAACTAGGTGTGGTACGATCACTTTCGTAGAATTGTCCACTCTACGTGTGAGTTCTCTCGTAAATTTCTATTGTTCTAACATCGAACAGAGTCTCTCATTTTTTCTGATTCTCAATGTTGTTACCTAACTTACTAAACATTTGGGATAACATTATTTGATTGGCTGGATTTGTATCAACGTGATTTGAAGAAAATGTGTCTCATGATTAGATTCTAGTGAACAACGACTTTCGAGTTAGTGATCCGGCTCTCCACCAATTGACATAAGAGGCTTAACCATCAGTCTGTTTTTATTATTAATGTTTTATCTTTAGTGTAAATGTTCCTTAATTTTAAAAGTCTCTTTGTTACTTTATTTCAGGAACTGTGGTCATTAACTGGACACCATTCAAGCGTTCAAAGTTTATGTTTCCTTGAGGAATTTCCCAGTAAATCTGAAGACGTAAAATCTCCCAAAAAGTTCATTTCAGAACTTTGGTTGATGAGTGCTTCAGAGGATGGTGATATTTTTATCTGGGATGCGTCTACTGTGACTCACAATGTTGAATATAATGTGCATGATAAAACAGTGATTTCACAATTGGCATCGTTATGTGGATATCATCGTCGATGTGTAACTACTTCTGCATGGCATCCAAGACGTCAACTGGTTGCTACCGGTGACTTAGACTGTATGGTGTACTTATGGGATGTTTCACAAATTGATGTTAAATCCAGTGAGCTATCGACAAGTGTCTGTTCTGTAAAGCTTCACCCATTTAAGTCAATAAATGTATCCAGTCATCCTATTGTTTCGATTGCATTCCGATTACCATCTGTTCTAAACAATAAACAAGAAGACTTAATACATGATGATTTGGCTATAGGATGTTGGGATGGTACAATACATTTCTACAATTTGTCTTCCTTATCTATTGTGAGGGTAAGTTAACAAATCTTGCGTTGTTATTTGTAGAGCGGTGGCTCAGTGGTGAAGGCATCAGACTCTTAGTCACTAATTCGTATATTCACCTCATGCTCCACCTACTTTGATTTGACCAATCGAGTAGTCTTTCTGTTATGACTTGACCTAGCCGTCGCCAATTTGTTATGTTTTTGACCTAGGCGGTAGCCAATTGTTATGACTTGATCAAGGTCGTCGCTGATTCGTTATGACCTTACGAACGTAATTCGCGTAAACTATCCACCAATAGAATACGACTTCTACGACCTTCACACTGTGACAATGACGTTCGATTAGTATGAGTAATCTAGCGTCCTTATTGGCCCTTATCCGCCTAACCCGTCCACTTGAGTCCAGAACACCAATAGCAGCCTCGGCAATACGAATCGTTTATTTCAAGCATACTTTGTTTATATATCAGACAGACAGGCCACATCATACCATAAAATAGAAAATAATATTTGTACAAATCCAAGCCAAATGATGCTGTAAGCGTGTGAGACAATAATCAATAAAACTGAGTATAACATAGGGACAGTAAATCATATAGTAATAATCAATAGGTCAAAATGAAGCTTACAATAAGATGAATATAGATATAGATAATCTAGTTACCGAATAGTTATACAATAAGAATGATAGTCCAATAGTAGGTCCTGCAAGTTACCCGGACTTATGTCTTCGCTACTACATAACACTTTCTACTTCTAACAACCAGAATGTGTCTTGAAGCCGAGTATACTAATCTATTCTTAATAAATGAGTTGGGTTGTGCGATATTCGTTGGCAGTCGTAGATTTCTATATCGGTCATTCATATTTTTGTCTTTTGATTTTATCAACAGTCACTATCTGCATCAACGTCACTCTGTTCACTTGCCTACTCACCAAATGGTGGGAATATATTAGCAACGTTTAATAAAGATGGTGAATTAATGCTGTGGAATGATGATATACTTTGGTATGAAGGTGGTGTAATACAAGAATATTCTTGTTATTCATCTGAATATTTCTTATTTGATCAAACTGATGTATTAATTCCAAACCAATATGGGAAAATATGCTTTTCGAAACCAAATGGTCAGTACATTTTCCAGTCAGGTGGTGGCCAATTCTTGAATAATTATATTAATATTTGGGATACTAGACTACGGGCGACCTATGGTAAGTGTTGGTTTTAGTTTTGTGTACCTTGAAATAGCAATATTTTTACCTCTTTTAAAAATAAATGAATGAATTTGTCAAGCTTGAATGTTTATTTTATTCCATACACCATTTAATCTTATTTGATTTGTAATAATTATCTGAGCTGTGATTAGTTGATAAGCGAGCAAAGACAAACATATCCGGTTATGGAAATGTATATCTCGCTCTAAATTCATTGTTTTCTACATATAATAAACTGTTGTCTATATAATAGTAGATCGGATGTTGCGACTGTCATGTGATATAGTATAGTGTATCATTTGGTAATCCTACTGTCTTTTATCCGATGTATAAATTAGTATTACCTATTATGAAGTTTGTGAATGCGGAAATCAGTATTTTCAACGTCTTATCAATCGAATCTGCCAAGGTCACAGTAAATTTATTCAGTCAACATGTCAAATATATTTTGTAAGCAATATGTTTTATATTAGTTCGACAGTATGATTCTGACTATGTAATGCGGTTAAGCAATGAAAACCAATCAGTGTGAAGAATTGTTGATAATAAAAATTATACAATTGTTTGTTCTCCCTCTCGAAATGCTCTCACATGGCCACGCGAATATATAGCTTTTGCCAGGGAAGTCCTACTCACTGCCTTCTCGTGGTGGGGGTGTTGTTCACGACAGTGAGAGGATGAAGATCGAATGTCCGGCGCTTTAACCGGGTTGGTGGATGTGGAGTATCCACCTAGGGGAATTGGGAAACCCTGATTCCAAACCAATGGTGCACGTGGGCTACAGTATCCTGATGGAACGAATGGCGTATGAACCTATTGTTGGTCACCGGCTACCATGGGACTGCATCTCCTCACGATGCTCCACTGCCTTGTGGACTAGACCTTTAGGTCAGAGGCTCGGGGTGTGGCCCCCTAAGAAAATCACCTGCTTCAGTTTGGGCACCTGAGCAGTATCACAGCCCTCACACAAATCAAATGAGATTTGTGAGGCGCATATTTATCTGGTGCTTCCTTATACCAATATTTATGTGTTTAAATAAATAAATAATAAAATAAGTTTGCTCATATCTGTGTATAATCAATCTGCCACTTGAATGCCTGATAATGACTTTGAAGGCGCTTCTTAGATCCGCAAAATACTCCCACACTTGAGCTCCAAACTTTAGGAAGTAATTGTGAAGTAAGAAAAAAAGCTTTAATTTAAGCTTCATAAGTGTACAGAAAACAACCGTATATCTAGGTTCAATGGTAGCCTCTGGCTTCTAAATAACTCCGGAATCCGGCTCAATATAGTAACAGTAAAAAATAATCTAATAAGAGTACGACATACAATCTACCAATATTTAAGAGGTTTTCTTAGTGTACGGTGATTGGAAAAATTATTCTTAGTTCTCTTCTAACCTCTTAAAGCCTTATCAAGAAACTCTTAGAGGGAACCCTGCTGTTTAGTTTTCTAGTGCTGATGGAATTCTATCGATCAGTTTGCAGTATTGTCACTAGTTTGAGTAGCTAGACATCGCTTACATGTTTTATATTTATCAACCAGTTTTAATTAACATAAAAAAACCTTATTCATTATCTTTCGGTTTATTTGTCTTGAATTTTTGCATAGGTCCATGGATTGATGTAAAACCGCCTCAAATAGATTCAGGAAATTGTATGTATGTAACTTATGTGGCAATGTTGCCTTCTACTGAACATGTTTTAATAGGTTGGAATAACGGCGATCTGACTGTTATTCATACGTACGATGGTAGATTAATTCATTATTTGAAAGCAGCAACAGAAGATAATTCACCTATCCAGTGTATTACAAGTAGTTGTGCAAGATCTTATTCAGCATTTAATGCATATCATATTATTGTTGGTTATGCATCTGGCGCTGTACGAGTAGGTTGTACAAATTAGTATAAAAGTCGTTGATTACTATGTATAAATTAATCATAAATGTTGTTTATATTAGTCAGTATTTTGTAAAAAACTGTAGCTGTAGCATCCGCCTTGACTTAGTGGTCGGGACTGGTTGTTCTGATGATCCAATCGAAGTGTATCTGCTGAAACACTTGTTCCTTTAGGTTACACCATGCCAGCCAGATTGGTTGGAGAACAGTAAAACTAAAAGCAACAAATGAAGGTCTTAAAGCAAAGTCGTACTTCTGGCTGTAGAGGAGTGTGACAGCCGTAAGTTGTTTCTCTTCAATAGCTAGCGACTGCAAACATTGCTTCCTTCTCACAATAAAGAGAGAGAACCTGAGAACATCACATCTCATCTTGCCTCACGTTTTATGGTGCAACTGACTGAAAAACTCATTATTCTACATGTTATGCCAATCATTCTGACTGTTACTCTTCCCGAGTGTTATATAGTCTCTTTCACCGAGAATTTATGTGGTTTTTAAGTAGTTGTGTTGACTTCATTGGTAAACTGGTTTTGTTTTAAATTCGGTCATTCTTTATATTATCAGCTGAATAGTAGTTGATTTAATTTTGTGGAAGTTAAGTCATCTACAAAATGAAGATGCTTTCGTTTATTAATTGGTGATTTATTGAATTTTATTGTACTCATTACACTCATTTATGACTTGAGAAGTAACGAGGTTACATTGCTTATTCGTCTTTCCGAACTTTACTCTCTTTTAGATATTTTTATGCCATTTAAGACCAAAAATCAGTCCACACAAAGGTCGTTATGTGTATCAGTCGACAAATGCAATGTCAGAGCTTCAATTCCAACTCATTGATACTTTATGGTCACATCCTATAAATCATAATGTGAATGGTGGGGTGCAGGAAAATGGAGGGACATTGTGTGTTGCAAGTTCCTTCTGTGTAGCTGTTACTGGAGGTGGGAATGCTGAAACATGGGTTCATTTTATTGGTCGACAAACTGGTAGTAAAATTAAGAAGTCTGTATGCTTGAAGGAACACAATTCTGCAGTAATCGCTGTTAGTATGGAAAGCAAATTTTTTGTGACAGCTTCTAAAACCAGAGTAAGCTATGCATACAGTCGTTTACATTATTAATTTATAAGGTTGAGATTTCTAAGACAGAACTTGTGTTTAATAATATTTTAATAACTATGTTATCCAGTTGTTGATCTATGCTGAATACACGGGAAAAAAAAGTTTCATGTTTTAGGAAACCTTTTATTCAGTTTAGTTGTAGCGCATTGATTTGAAAATTCCAAGTTCAACCAATGAGTTACTAATTGTGAAGGTATTCCACTTATATTTATAGTTTCTGAGTTTACAATAAATCTTAAGTGTTATAAACAATAGAGGATGCTGATTATAACTCTAGCGGTTTCTGGTTATAACAGTCCTTTCAATTTTTACACGTATGTGGGACGTTAATTTACCTTAGACGAATATCTACACTAGATTCCCACCCAGTGTCTATTCTACAGGACTTCAACACAACTCAGATCAAGAACACGAGATTAGCCTGACTAGAACGTCAATATATTTCCACACCAAAATCCGACACAAGGAACAGTCAATCAATAAGTGTCAATACATAATAAGGATAGGGGAATATATATAACACATATAACACCTGTCATCTATCTAATGTCTGACTCATCAAACAATCAATTATTGTCATTCTCGCCCACACATCATTAAGTTGTTGCCATAATATGTTACTTTTTATAAGCTACATAGGTAGCAAAAAAACTCATAGGAAGGCTGTTTGTATTTGTTTTTTCATTTCTGTGTAAAATATTGTTTGGTCTGACCGATTTTCCGGCAATCTAGGTTTACTTAGCAGTATAGAAGTAGAAATTGGCTTCTCTGTTGGAAAATAAAATTTGAGTGAAACTATTTAAGTGAGGTGGTTAAACCATTAAAGACATGTGTGTTATTGAGTGGCAAACCAAATTATGTATTTGTTTAAGTTGTCGGATTTCTGAACTCATGAATGAAGTGATTCATGGACTCAACTTTCAGTCACTGAAAAGAAGAGTTCGACTGTTTGGGTAGCATCACAATTGGCTGAACTTGAACTTGGACTCCAAACTAGATACATGACTCTATACCAAGTTATTGAGTTACATCAAACTTAGATTCGAGATTTGTTTAAACAAATATTAAGCTATAAAATAGCTATTTGTATTCGTCCCTGGATTCCTCTTCGAGAATATCTACGAATGTGATGGTCGAGATGAATGTCAACCGACCCCAAGATAACGCGTTAATCAGTGGTGTCGGGTGGAGTGATTACTTTAATACTTACCAGTTTATTAGGCTCCACTCTATCACAAGTTTAGAATGGTCATGAAATTTGTTGAATTTTTAAGAAATATCGGTTATAATTTAGTCACTTGTGATCTTACTCCAGTTAGATCGGACAAATGATGGTTATCGAATGATTGCTGTCGTAATATACGTCCTGACTATTCTCGTATATAATTATCAACCTAAATTGCGTTAGTGAATAATGGAATTAAATAAGCCAAATGCGATTTCGAATACATATATTCTGTACACTCATTCATCTGGACAGGTAATCAGAGAGACGAAGCGAAGAGAAGAGAGTGAAGCTAAATGACGTAGAGTGGAGAAGGCGTTTGAGCCAACTCCATTTAACCAAGTGTTAATCAATATTTATAGCCAGATAAAAATAGGTTACAGACATGCAATGAATTGGATAACAAGTGTACACACATACGCTCATATAAAAACAATGAAGGTCGGTAAGTGGATAACAAGGTCAAAATGTGACTGAAGAAAAATAGTTAAATTGACCTGTCCAGAAGCTAGGGTAAGTTATGTGGGCTTAACGCAGTAACCGACACTACAATGACATCAATAAGTCATTGGATCATACGAATGGTTCCTATAAAATTGGAGCATCATGTAATATACGATCGCTGGAATCCAAAGGATGTTGATTATGAAACCTCATTCGGTTTTTCATTCATATTATGACTTATGAATTGTCTCTTGAAGAGATTATTATTCATTGAGAAAAATAATTCTGTTCGAAATCAGAAAGTTTGTGTTTAGTTAGTCACAAAATATTTTCTCCTGTTGTGATTTGTATGTTACGTCACACACGAATAATTTTCTGTTTTATTTTTCACCGCAGTTTACGTACTTTTGACAACGCTAAAATGACCTTCGAATGTCCACCTACTTACTAGAGTTAAATGAGGGTTATATATTAGTGTGAGGAACTAGGATTAGGTTTTACAGTTGAACGTTAAGGTTAGGAAGTAGGTTCAATGTTTTCATCATAAACTAACATCAGCTATAATGCCAAAATGGTATTTAGCCAAATAAGCAAATGAAGTTTGCGTCGAAAGCCAAAATCTGCTATTTTAAATCTGATTAGTTCGTCCATAAATCGTAGTCTCAGCACTTATTGAGTGAGTAGTTAACGCCATAATTGCAGTGACAATAATTGATGTGTCCGAGTCTCCTTTCGAAAACCAACATTAGTTACTAGTTACATTCAGTTTTTGCACACCTAGTCGTCCAAAATACAAGTCTACTATCCAAAATTTTCATTGTTTTCATCAAATTTCCTCAATAAGTAATGGCTTTTGTTACAATCTTTCACCGTATTCTTTATTAAATAATGTACCCCTGTATTTTGATTACAGCAATTGGCGTTGTATAAGTTCAATCCATTAGAACGAACTGTAACCTTATGGCATTTAATCAATGATGTTGGAACAGCTACAATCACTTCTTTCTATTTACTACGTATGTTCATTGGTGTGAAGACAATCAGTATATCGGTGTATATTGGTGATAGTAATAATCTACTGCATAATTACGCAGTAATTGATAAAAAATTGGAATTGAAACAAACATTTCATGCAAACAAATCTCCTATAAAATTTATGGAACGTGTTGTAAGTCCGGTTAAAATCACTGAACTGGAAATATTCCTTTTTTTCACTCAACTTTACCAAGCATCTTTGGCTTAACTGATTTGGATAATAGAGTAATTATAACTTTCGTAAAATCTTATGAGTTCGAAATGATTGTTTTCTAACCAAACCGGTCATGTACAGAAATGGATGATGTCTAACAATGGGATCCAGGATACATGTTCCGTCCAATTCGGGGCTCGTCATCTGTGTGTTAATGCACCCTAGAGGTATACTCGGTAACTAAGTGGATAACCCGATGGCATCTAAAGCGAACGGTACTGGGTTTGAGTCTCGGAGTGAACATCAACCCTGGGATGCAGGTGCATCTAGTCCAAAATAGGACAAAACGTACCTCCTGAATCCCATCGCTATGATTAATTATCTATTAAAAATCTTTTTAGATCTCAGATAGAGCATCGTAAACGATCCCTTGATTTTTTTGTCAGTAAGCTTAATTCCACCTGTTCTCCTTGAAAATTAAGCTTTAATTTTAAAGCATTGGCAAGTGGACGTCTACAATACCTTTACAATCAAATTGAGTTATTTCCTTCTAACAATATCTTCCACTTGACTGCTAAAAAATCTCGAGGTGTTTCTATATGATGTTTCGAAAACATACTTGGCGAATTAATCGTTATATATGTACATATATATATATATATATATATATATATATATATATATGCTGAATATTGATTACGTCTCACTATTTTTCCTACCTATTAAGTCGAATCATTTGTTAGCTGCTTCGGATGATGGTGAAGTTAGTGCCTGGAAGCATGATAAATATGGTGTTTTGCAATTGTCTCATCGTCTCAATGTCTGCACAGATATGCCGTCAAAGAATAATAGTAATAATAGCAACGTGGAAGAATCATATTATTTAACCAGCTTTTTCATGTTCTACGCTGGTTATGATCCCTTGAAATGTAAGTAATTTTAAGATTAGCTGCTCGTCTACTATTTCTTTTTTATAATTCTCCAATGATATTACAGTCTGCTATATATAGAAAATAGTTATAATATGTGAATTCTTTAATCACCATTGTCATCAAACTTCCAGCTGCTAAGTCACAGGTTCTAGATTCACTCTTTTTTTCCGTCTGGACAACCGAGTAGTGTCATTAAAATTGTATGTACATGTTTTTTTCATAATTTAAAGTCAACTGGTTATCTGTGATCTTCTATCATACACCTTGAATGATGAAGACTCGTAGAACAAGCAAAACAAATTTTAGACTAATTATTGCCGTTAAATTAATACGATCGATCTATTATTTTGTACCTCATGCTTAACGAATTCCTTGATTTCTTCTTATTGTCAATATTATCACTGTTAATTTTAGTTGAACCAACACTGCACGATCCAACTATTGAAACAATCAATAAATTGATGATATCTAATGCTGATAATCAATATATTGAATCTGATGACCAAGTGAAGGATCCGGATTCTGAAGTCACTACACTTAGTGGATGTAACATGTCAAGTAGTAATAGTTATGTAACAGGTTCTGATCAAGAAATTTATGAATGTGGTTACAAATTACATGTTGATATTGAGGAGGAAAGTAAAGCATATTCACTTGCTACTGATTATCTGAAAGATGAACAATTTCATTTGTTGAATTCATGTAAAAAGGGATACATAGTTTATCGAGACACATCATATGATGCAAAGTATCGTATAGTATATGGTGTTAAATTCTCATGCAATAAATCATCTGATAGCTCACAAGTTATTCAGGATTTTTGTTATCGAATATTTGCACCAAACATTCTACAATATCGTGGTACATTGAAAGGACATTCAGGTTTTGTTCCATGTGCATTGACCTCTGCATGTACCACTAATAGTGATGAAGATTGTATAGTTGCCAGTGCATCTGGTCGAACTGTGTGTGATGTCGGTTGTGATGTTCGTCTTTGGAGTATGCCGTTGAAAAGAAAACTATTGAATTGTAAGCATTAATTATCATTTTCGGTTTTATTGAATTACGATCTATTCAATAGTATTTTGATCTGATCAGTGTGGACGGTACTTTCTACAGTCGTCCAAATACAGTCATATCTAAACACTCAGATTACAATATATTGTTTGTATATTTTACAGTAAATATATGATAGATTTGTAGATATATAGATACCCTTGCCTACCTTGCTTTTTTTGTAACGATCTAGCAAGCGTTTCCGATCTCAATAGTCAAAATTGCGTTTAGTTACTCGGTGATATTACGCCATATCACAGGTTATCGCTTGTCAAATCCGATAAATATCAATCTGACAACTGGAAATGGACTTTCATCATAGCCATCAGCAATTAGTTTGTTAGTTCATACATATTTACCTAATTTATTCTCTTTGTTACAGCAGAGCCGAGTTGCTTTGAAATTTATATCTTCACGCTACTTACACAGTGTAAAGTTTGTGGATTTTCTGTTTTTCGCCATAAACAGCGCGTTTTGCTTTGCTATTATGTTAAACACGGGATTCGATTTTATACAAAACTATTCCACTGGTGCCGACAATCGAGAATTTATTTATTGTAGACTGTTTTAACTTGGTTGACTCAATTAATATGCCTGTAATTCACAACAGATGATCTCAGTTGGAAATAAACAATAAGGATGTTTATTGTGAAGATTTTAAATAGTCATTTTACTATTCTGACTGTGAATATTACAGTGACTTGCGTTAAATTTAAGTTCACATGATGCGTTCTATTTTTACCAGAGAAATGTGTACGTAGCTCAACTTGTTATTAAGTCCGTGTGTAAATGAAATATTATCTTATTGAAAATATTTAAAAATAGATTCAGTATGAATCTAGTTTTTATGTGTTTGTAATATATATTTCTAAGACGAAACAGTCACAGATTTTAAAGAGACTAAACATTGTGTTAATAATGGACTTCAATCGCTTATTACAACTCATTATTGTATCAAAACATGGCATAAATTTGTTTAAATAAATTATTTCAAAGGTCATTTCATATTTCCACGATCGTGCTTCAATGTGTTCCCTCTCTTACACAATTGTCGGTATGTTTCGCCCTACTGATTTAAAAGGATTGTTTCATGAACTGTGATTTAATTGATTTGGTTACTTTTATTGTTAACGTTCTTATGGATTCCGATTGTGTAACCTCGATCCAGAAACAGGGTCGGAACTTTTGTTAAATTAAGGAGTGAAAATAGTGAATGGTAATACCATAGAGTTCAGTTTCCAGGACATTTGAATCATCCTAACTTCTACAACCTCACAATGCTGAGGTCACGGCGACTACATAGTAGTGACAGTTGTTAGAAAGTGGAAAGAATAGGTGCCCCATTCGTGTATTAAAGAAATCAAGAAACTGTACATATCGGTTCGATTCATTGCGGAATGACAGTAGTGGTTAGCAAAGAAGTTTGTACTGATGAAGATTGAATTACGTTAATGAAAGGAGCTCAGTGATAAGGAGAAACTTCCAATCACATTTTAGTAAAGCCTATCCACAAGATGAAAAAAAGTAACTTTTGAGCCAGTTTTTAGTTGTATCATTACAATATGAAATGTTTCCCTATATAAGTTGATACTTTGTTAACCATTTCATACTGTAGTGATCAGTGGTTTCTGTTTAAGTGATATTGCGAATTACCTGAAAATTAGGTACTCACTACCATGTATAATCATCCTCGTTTCAGTTCATAATCAGAGTGTAGGTGCCAACTGTGTGTACAGTTAGAAAACTTGATTTTAGGACTAAATAGCAATCCAATGCTTGGTTGTTTTCAGTGGTTAGGTAACCAAAGTCAGTCCGTCATATAAAACGTCAAATCTCCACAAAACATTATCCTAACAAAATAGAAATTACAAACGTTTCATCATGATTAGGTTTTATCAAGCTACTGTACTTGTCAGTCATTTGTTGTGATATTTAGATCAACCAAATCAACATTCTGGACCGATCACATGTTTGGGCCAATTAAAAATTACAGATCACTACAGTATTTGTATATCTGGTTGTATAGATGGGAGTGTAATGTTTTGGTCAGTTAAGAATTCCGAGCCGTTGGATCTAAAAAATGTGTCAGTTGCAGACAAGTCTGTACAATGGAAACCCTTATTACATGCGTTTTGTTCAGCGTTACGACCAAAGTATGCAATATCTGATATTTCTACACAAACTTATGTAATGGATGAGTCAAAACCGACAGTGCAATATTTGATTTATATTGCTTACGGTGAAAATTTATGGAGAATGCGAATTATATTGAATCAGTCAAATATGTCTATGAATGATATACAAAATACTTTTGAACGATTGTTCTCTATGAATGGGAAAACAGAATTATGTTTTTCAGAATTAGATGTATTCTGGTCATCTGAATCAGATATTCCTTGTTCTGATATTGTTTGGTAATTCACGTTTTATTTTGTTATTATGTTGAATTAAAATCCATTTTTGATATACCTTCATCTATTTACTTAGGGAATGTGGAACTTAGTAAATTACTACATAAGTTCAACTTGTAATATCCCTCTCTCCACAGCATAAATTAGTGGAAAGAAAGAGTCCTGTCGGTTTTAGTGTAATGATTTTAATTGTACCAGCGTATTTACACCGTAAATAGTTTTTCAATCGGGAGTTTAATGCTGATGATCTTCATTAGGAGATAATTTTCATCACGAATCTTATATTACGATTATCACAACGTCTTTCAAAAAGACCCATACTGGACAAGTGTGCTCTACTGAGTTCTATTTCATTAGTTTATACATTGCTTGCTTGCTACAGGCTTTGTAAACCTTGAGTTCTTTTCTGTCTACGCAGTAGTCGTTTCTCTTTAGTGAGAAGATCGAAAGTAGAATGAAACAGTTGTGTATGTTGACCTCCGAATTTCAATTGAAGCAAGTCAGTGACCAAAGATTTTCGCATTTTATTTGACAATGTATGCTGAATATGTTTTCTCAACAGATGAATGGGATAATGAGTAAATTCAACTGACTGTGAATAATTCTGTTTTGTCTTTCAATTATTCAGTTTAAATTTGACTACAATCGCATCTGTCACTGCAAATACAGAGTTTGAGTAGTATATGTGGTCTAAGACAGTAAAGAAACAGGAAACATTTTTGTTGACAGATAACCTGTTTCATAAGAAATAATTTTATGACTGTCTTGATCATCTTCATCATCCTCATGGCTTCCGGAGTCACCTAATTTTCACCATACGTATTGTAGCTTTTTATGTAAAGACCCTTTTCCTCTCGGAGCTAAGTTTAATTGGTTTTCTCCGGCTATGGTTATCTTAATAGGGTCCTTTCCTGTGGAATTGTGGTGTTGGTAATACTACATATAACTCTTTTCTTTTACCCCGGTTTGGGACTGGCAGTATCCCTATAGCGTCTCCAGGTGAGGTAATAGTCAACTTAGTCGTAAATTTAATTCCAGGTAACAATCGTTGTCATTTTTACAGATCAGTTAACAAAAGCACCGAGGTACTTGGCAGTTTTTAGAGTTTTTAAACTGTGTTTACACTTGTTTATTTATTGAGATGTCTGACTTCAAAAGTCAATAGTATGTTCATTTGAATTGTTAATTTGTTTCTTGTTATTTTTTGCGCATAAATTAGCTTCACTGCAAGTCATCCCATTGTAAAAATATCTCCACGTTATGCTAAACCTAATCATTTAGAACAATGTGAAATTATTGCTGTCCTTGTCAATGGTGATGTAATTGTTGTAACAAGTAATGAACGTGAAAACTTTTTATTTGATCAATGTACTGTACAAAAGTAAGTTGTAATTTTGTTGATATTGGAACAGTGTTGAAATGCCATATGTTTTTTTCATGAAGATTATTATCAAATATTGTTAGAGAATAAATAAAGACTAATCATTTCTATCAGTTGAAGTTGACCAAATAGATAGTGTTATATCATAAAGTAACCATGTTTCGCTTTCGTTTTACCGAGTCCCAGCATCTGCGATCAATGTCCAGTATGAAAGAGTGTTGAATAATTTGGGTGCTAAGTGTTCAATCCACCTAAACTCGTGTTGTGTGTTAGTGTAACTTATTTAATGATCTCGAAACACAGCATATTCATGGAGTACCAATAGTTCGTCGTGGATATCGACCAGCTAACTCAGTGAAGTGTTTAGCATATTGAGTGAAGGTGTTCTAGTTTTGTCAAGCGTAGATCTGATCTACTCGCACCATTGTATCGTGTATCCAACCTTTTATGATCAGACTGATGTTACGACGATGCTACTTGGTCGTACACTACACAAGATAGGTTTTCTTGTCACAAAGCCATCGGTACCCACACTATTACTTCTAAAGTCTAACTACCAAGGATGAATGGATGTAGAATATCTTGCAAGTCATGTAACAATACTTCATATTTCTGCCGTTCAACGCAATTAACATGTATGCATACGGAAATCAACACGTATTTTTGTTACAGATAAATCGGAAAACAGGTCGGTCACGAATGGATGAGACATTTTCTTTATCTAAAATGGGATGGTTATTTTTCAGTGTTTAAAGGTCCCTTCAATAAAACTTTTTAATAGAAATGAGTTTCTGAGTAAAATATAAAATAAAATTTAAATTACTAATACAAAATGATTTTGTGTACTATGATATAAAGTTTAATCAAGTGTTTACTATAGACTTTCCAGCATTTCGTACCATTATAATTTGTGTTAATATTTGGGCGCATTGACTGAATTGTATAGCCTACTCTGAAGACAATCATTCGAACTTTTATCTTAAAATTGTAATCTATAAGATGGCAGGTGGTAATGAAAGCTATTTCCTTTATTTCTCGACATTAGATACCGTGTGCATAGAATAATAGTACACTCCTCACCAGTATGAACCAAGTCGTTTAAATGTTAACCAGATCTCATTATATAGTAATCATTATTTTTTCTGACGCCTATCTTAATATTCATTCACATAACACTCTGAAATGTATAGGTAATAGTATCGTTATTTTATTTTCTACATTTTGTTCCAGTGGTTTATGGTGCTCATCAATAGGTACCAATGATGCTGGAATTTTCACTACACGTTCAGGCATGGCTTTTGTATGCAAACACACTGATGAAGTAAGTATTCAGTTGATTTATTCGCATAAATGAGGTGTATATGGTTGCTTCCTAATGTGTTTGACACTGACTGTTACTGACTTCGTGGGCGCTTCTTATAACCTCAGACTACTTCTACACTTGAAGAATAGAGAAAATAAGCGAAGTACGTGTAAGATGTTTACTTCAAGTTTAATCTATGTATGGAAAGTTAACTGTATTCACAGAGTTTAATGGTGTTCTATATACTACTGGAAACATTAAATATGGTAATGTATAAGTAACGTCCAATCAAAACGTTAAGCATAATCCTTCATTTTTCTAGATGTTTCTGGGAAGCTTCTATTCAATGCCGATTTGGCAAAACATTTTCAAACTTTCCATGAGTCTCTAGAGACTTTGTTGAAGAATATTAGCTTCTCAATTTTCCTATTGATGCAAATGAGAAATTCGTTGAAAAATAGAATCTTTTTTTTTTCTTGACTCAATTGAAAATAGACACTGGATGTGAAGTCAAATTATTATTATTTTAAAGGAATGTGTGAGTGATAGATAACTGTTTTTCTATGATATCGATGAGTCGCTCATGGAAGATATCTTTATTACTCAGCATTAATTGGTATGTATATGACAATCAGGATTCATCTTGTTACCACTACAACATATTTTGTTGGATAAACGTGGTGTTTTGTTCGTCCTTATTGGTGAGAGTATGTCTTCTCAACAGTAATAATATAAAGTGTCATAATCTGAGCAACTATGATGAGTGGAACTCAATTTCCCCCTTTGATTACGCACTAAGTTACATCGTCCCTTCAACCTTTGTCCTTTCAATCCTTCTGTAAGAGAGCAGAGTGGATGGTTCTTGACGAGGACACTTTTTCCGTCATCAGATGGAGTAGAAAAACCAACATACCTGCTTTTTTTATACCAAATAAAAGTCCAAATAGCTGGCTTTGTGCTACAATATTTGTGTTATGATTAATCATAGTACACTGTCCTTCATACATAGATGGACTGAACACTATTTGAACCTGTAAACAAATGACTCAGACAGAGTAGTATGAATGGCATAGTTGTACTTGGTGATGAATAACTAAATGTAAACTTCTTGTGATGACTAATGCAATTTACGGTCCTCTCATCTGGTTAAATGTGAGTCATGTTTCTTACACAGTTGTGATGTGTACGTAACTCTAAGATAATTGATTCATAATAGTTGAAAGCGTGAGTCAATTGACTGGTGGGTACTGGGTTCGAATCTCGCGAATGCGGGATCGTGGATGTGCGCTGCTGAGGAGTCCCATAGTAGGACGAAACGACCGTCTAGTGCTTCCAGGTTTTCCATGGTGGTCTAGCTTCAATTGACTCACGCTTTCAACTATGAAAATACTAAATCTCCACAAAACTCCTTCTGATGATTTATAATACTTTTTTCCAATGTCATTTTTCATGTAAAATATTTACTCTTGTTTTTAGAGTCGTACATTTCGTCGTATTTCAGGATACATGGGATCATGTGAAAAAGAAATGTGGATAAATTCATTGAGTGTTCTACGTACCGTACTAGCAGAAGGAGGTCATTTGTAAGTTGTTTGTTGGAATGATATTTCGTATTTAAATGTAATTACTGTGTACTAGAAGTAGCTGGATGAAAAGAACATTGCGTAATAGTATTTTTAATTGTGAGGCTTCTTCATTAAGCTGTATTTCTATTGACAATGTATATCGCGAAATCAATAGCAATAACGCGCAAAATGTATGCTCTGTTTTCACATATCACTGTGAAGGGACATTTATAGCGGAGACTTATATGCGTGCGTAGCACAATACAAACGTAATCGTATATGTGATATGATTATCTCTAACTGGGAATAACATTTACTGTTATCATATGTCGTTTTAGGTTGAATGAATCTCTTGTTTTGCAATCGGTTTACATTAAAACTCATTAGTGCAGTTAGTTTACCACAGACAGGAATACGGATTACATGATAACTACAAGTGTACATTTGCTTTTCGTCAGTATTTCCTATTATGTTGCTTGTTTGGACACTTACTCAATGGTGGTTAAACAGAAGATATCTGAATTATTCAAATCTAACCAGTGGAATCATCTTTATAATGACATGAGAATTAATAATTCATCTTATGATTTCACTAGTACATTAGAATACTGGGACGGGGTAGCACGGTTAAAATGTTGAACATTCTAGTAATTATTCGTGAAGTAGAACAGAGTGAAAAAATCATTGTACCAATCGTGAAATGAAATGTACCACATTGCTGTGTCACTATTCCTCGAATTATTTTACCGTTATTCAATAAAAAGGAGAGCACTGAAGTCGTTCAATGTTATAAAGATAAAAGATTAAATTTCGTTCTAATCAATAAATGGTTTAGAGTATAATCGATAGGAGTCTACGACAAAGCTAAATGTCAAAAGATTAAGTTTCTGAAGAACATTTAATCTCACAGTGTTGAGGAATCCCAAAATACTTAATGGGAAAGTCAATAAAAGCTCAGAAAACGCTTAGAAACGCTATCCAGCCAGGACTGAATAAAGGTTTCTTTGAAACATCTAGATTGTCGATAGATCACATGTTCAGTTTTCGACTGGATAATCACCTTATTGCTGTATCTAGTATGATTCTGGGAGATCAAAGTCACTCCAACTAGTATGAATACTCACGATTTTCTGCACATACCTTGACCTTTGAGTAAAGCTTTCTTTTACACTTTACATATTTTCTCTTGTGTTCAGTTCGCCGTGTAGATTTAGTCTAAAGCTACTAGAAGCGGCTAGGTTATCGGATCGAGGGTTCAATCAACAGACTTATCACATAGATACATTAATCTTCTGCACATTCCCTTCAATCAACCAATATTTTAAAGTAATTTCTTTCAGTGAGCACTAAGTAACAGAAAACATATAAAATAGTTTTGTTGTCCAATGATAGGTAGATCAGTGTTGTTTTATTTCTCTAAATTAGTGCTCTAGAAAATTATCACTTTGTTTCGAGTTGTATGCATCTTGGCTATCACCTATGTACTGAATTCTGTTTCCTACAATCATTGATATTTGTAACATACATTTTTAATGGTAGCTGAACTATGCCTTTTTTTCATTCAGCTTGTATTTGGCTGAATGTCATCTTATCAATTGTTGGAAAATTCTCATTTGTAATGAAAATGGTGATTTGGTGACAGATTTTACAGTGAGTATTTATGCCTAATATATTATTGACGTTTTACAAATGTAAACATTGTTATGTCTAGTGTTGGTTCTCGATTTCTGTGGCATATTTCTTCTTATTAATAATAATATTCTAAACCTGTTATATCCTGATAAGAATAATGAACGGTAACTGTTGAAATCTATTTCTGGACTAGTACTGTACATATATTTTTATTGTATAATTGTTGAGTAACTAAACTATTCGTATTCGTGTTTCTCTTATTATAAGCTTTATTTTGACCTATAGACTATTGTTATACGATTTTCTCGTTCTTGAGTTATCCTTAGTCTATTAATTACTGTTCCCCACATTCACATACACATTTAGCCAAATCATGTACTATTGTTATTTTCTATTTTATGCTACCATGTGGTCAGTTTGTTTAATATATAAACCTAGTGTGTTTGAAGACAATGATTCATTTTGCAGAGGCTGTTATTGAGGTTTTAGACAAGTACTTAAGACTGCTCATACGGCTTTTGTGTATCATGGGCGATCAATAAATTCATTGCTCTCCAATTGGCGGTTTTATCACTCATATATTAAACAGGGCACGCACTCACCCAATCGATATAACAGCCTTAAGTCAACATTTGTATTTATAAGTTTTATTTTATCCAAAGAGTAAAACTACCGATATCATGGTGAATACTTTCTTTTCTCTTTGGAATAGCTTGATAATTCATCAATAAAAGTCACTGGATATTGTGCGAAATTGCTATCACTGACTGAAGACAATTGTTCAACATTAATCTATCTTATAATTTCAACATCAGATAATATTTTACATGTTCTAAGATGTACAATAAACAATCCAATCACAGTGGTGAATTCAAACCAGTGGAAACAAGTAAGACTGATAGGGAATAAGTTAACTAGTAAATATGTTCATTTTATGCATATCATCTTCACTTATCTGTACAAATTGAATGTTATTAGACACAGTTAGTTATTTTAGTTCATTTGTCAATCGACAATTCAATGAATTAATGTAATCCTATTGAAAATGTGTAACTACTCATATTCATGTTTGTCTACATAAGTTGAAATGGATTCCTGGTTGTTTGTATTAGTTATTGATTATGTAATTCTAGAATTGTAGTTCTTTTATTATTAGTTCATGTTTATACAGTGTTAACTAAACTGATATCTTTCTATCTTTTCTCTCTCTCCTTCTTTTGTTATTTGGTCTTTTTTTTAAAATAAAAATAATGTGTTTCTGTGTTTGATTTAACTTATTACCATCGAGTTTTGCAACAATTTCATCATGAAATAATGTAAGTTAGGGGACTTAGTGAAGTGGTGAGAAGTAGAAGTTTGTGCAATACTGAGGAGTTTTGTATGTAAAATAAAACAAATACCTAGTACTTGGTGATTTTTGTTTCGTAATCATTATCTTTTTCAAACAATATTTTTCGAATGAGTATATTCAATTTGTGCAGTGACGATCCCAATCATACTCATAGTTTTGCAACGAAATTAGAACGGTTTGATCATGTCACTTACTTATTTGTTCCTGTTACGCCCCTTGTACAACATAGGATACTCATCAACATTTTCCATCCAATCTTGTCCTGGGAAGTCCTTCTCAGTTATTTCCAGTTGTTATTGATCCTTTTGATGTCTGCTTCCCGTTCCCAATGTAGCTGGTTCTTTGGTTTTCCTCTTTTCCGTTTCCCTTCAGGATTCCAAGTTAGTGCTTGCCTCGTGATGCAGTTTGATGGATTCCGTAATCCTGTCCACTCCCAACGTCTTTTCCTAATTTCCTCTTCAGCTGGAGGCTGATTTGTTCTCTCCCATAGCAGGCTGTTGTTGATGTTATCTGACCGACGAACATTGAGTATCTTGTGTAGAAAATTGTTTATAAATACTTGTATCTTTTTGATGATTTGATTTTAGTAGTTTGCCAAATTTCACCTCCATACAATAGCACAGTCTTGACGTTTTTATTGAAGATGCTGATTTTTATGTTGGCTTGCAGTTATTTTTAGTTGCAGAAGTTCTTCAATTGTAGGAATATTACCCTTTCTTTGCAAATCCATGCCTTCACATCTACACCAGATCCACATTGTTTATTAATGATGCCATTATTCTGGTTAATAAAATTCTAACTTTTTAAATCACTATTAAACATTAATTTATTTTACTGTTAACATCTTGTTTGATTAAGCAGTTATTACCTAACGATGGTTTATAAATTTGATTTTTTTCGATTAATGTTAGTGTACGATGTGAATTAGCTACGGAACATTGTTGATCTCTTTTGTTACTTGGACAAATGTTGTTTTAGTATCGTTTAAACTCTCGTCGTTTGACAACTGCCTAATGTGTTCATTAAGTCATTCAATTGGCATTTATTAAGCTTGAATAGTTTGAGATCAACCCTAAAACTCCCTCATTCATAAGTTTCAGATATTCGAAATTGATAATTGACTGAAATTTTGAGGACAGAATAAGTTATATTACATTGAAGTACATTTCTCACCATTATCACTACATAATTCCTCCTGTTTACATAGTAATGTGCCGATGAAAGTCTTTCCTACTTAAAAACATTAAGCCTTTTTAGTGACCTAATCTATTCAATTAGATTGTGTTGAGTATATTTGCTATGAGATATATTTAGTTAGTGAATCTCAAGAGGATTGTCTCGTGTAATTCAGGACTCGTCATCTGAATATATCCGCATTCCAGTGTTGATGTTCACACTAAGACTCGACCCTCACTAATAGGTTGTGTTGATTTCAAGTTGAAATAGATTTTAGATGGCATATTCCAATATTAGTACTATGATATAATCAATGCGAATAAAAGTGATCTATATTTGTCCAATAAATTATCAATTATACAGATTATCTAACCAGACTGTATTAATTTAATACATATTAAAATAGGTTGCTTCATTATATTCTGATAATAACTAAGTGAAATAGTCTTGTTTCACAAGTTTACGTGATGAAAACCTTCTGTAAAATTACATATAGGTTTATACTATTTTACCTATTTGCAATTAGCTTCCGTTGCTTATTAATCGTCAAATGAAGAATATATAAAATCACTTAAAAGCTGTTTAGTCTTAGATTAGTTCTCTTCAGCAATCCTGCATAGGATGGTGTTGTGTAGCTTTGAATTTCACATTGAATTCAATATCTTTTGATGATTGAATTCATGTCCATTAGTCTACGATTTCAACTTTAGTCAATTCAAGTGAACACTATCAGTGAATAGTAGACGACTGTCTCATACTCAAAATCGTTCGACTTTACTCACTCTTTTATTTTACAATGATAGTTTTCTTTATAATTGAAGTCCTTTAGTCAATCAGTCAATGGAAATGAATGAGTTCGTCGTATAAAAAAGTATAAGACAGTTTTGTAATTAAAGTCAGGGAAACGTGAATGCATCTTGACTATAGCTCGACCGTAGCTGCTACCTTGATGTGTGGTCGGACTTGCCTATCGTGATGACCCAACCGAGCTATATTGGCTGGAACATACTTTCCTGTAGGTTCTACCATGCTAGGCAGGTCGTTTGGAGAACGGTAACACTAAAAGCAGCAACTCAAGGTCTGAGGGCGAAGTCGTACTGCTGACTGTAGAGGTGTGTGACAGCATTAAGGTGTTTCCCTCGGACAACCAGTATCTGCAACGATGCTGTCTTCTCACAAGGAAGGAGGGGGTTAGAAAAGGTCGACCCTAAAAATGTCACTCCTCACCTTACCTCATGGGTTTCCGTCTCTGGCGGTAAGGCCCTTTGAAGAACGGAGCTAACACATCAAAAATCTCCCACAAAATGGCCTTGCGTGACCGACCTCAAGCAGTTGTCCCTTGGACTCTGCGGTCACGCTCCCAGGTCGTTAAGATCAACATTAATCCAACTTCCTTTTCAGGTCCCTCAAGAAATACCCTTCCACGGTGTGGGCAGCCAGGAAGTGATATCAGCCCTCATACCCGTAACAGCACTCAATACCAAGTTGATCACATTCAAATCGTTCCTACACCTTCTAATAACTCTCTTGTCTCCACGACTAACCCTACTCACGTCCATTTATCACCTCGCACCGTTAGGGCCATACCACATCTCTATGCTAATGTGGTATGGCAACTCGAACTGATGTGTGTATGCACGAAGTTCTACGTTGTGACTGACTGACTTGAGTATAGCGATTTATTCTAAGCCATATCAAATGTCTTCAACCATTGGTCAATATAAACATGCGAACCCAAACTAATTAATCTGCAGTTATCAACCTGTTTCAGACCAATTGCAAGTGACTTCCTCAATCGATGTCACGTTTATAAGTCAACATGTATAGAATGTGTGATTATCATCCACACTTTCTATTTCATTTAATTTCCTTGTTTCAATAATCAATTGTATTAATTGAAGTTACTATATTGAAAGTATTCAATTTTTAATAATAAATATTTTCATAGTTGAAAGCGTGAGTCAATTGAAGCTAGATCATCAGGGAAAACTTGGAAACACTGGACGGCAGTGACCAGTGGAGTTGAAACCACGTCTGTTGTGAGATATGAACTGACTGAAGACAATTGGTGAACGGTTGGTGAACTTGGTGGATTGGTTAGAGTTAGACATAAACACCATGGGATGTCGGCCCAGTGGTCTATCGGTTAAGTGCTCTGGCGCGAGACTGGTAGGTCCTGGGTTGGAATCTCACGAGACGAGGTCGTGGATGAGCACTGTTGAAGAGTCCCACAATAGGACGAGTTGACCGTCAATCAGTGCTTCCAGGTTTTCCTTGCTGGTCTAGCTTCAATTGACTCACACTTTCAACTATGAAAATACTAAATCTCCACAAAAAACCCTTCTAATAATGAATATAATTTTTTCATAGGTTGCTATGTATCCAGTTGAAACAGAAATTACTCAACTTTATACTCTTGATGATAGTCAATTAAAAATTCTTGCCGGTGATAGACAAGGACAAATTCATTATTTCGTGCTATTGTGATATGTACACACACATACATACATACATACATACATAGAAAGTTTGTATGTTGAAAAACTGTTTTGTTTCTAATTGAATAATGTTTTTTCTGTTAATTTTACTTTTTATATTTTACCATAGAACTAACTTCTTTCTTTCTTTCATAATTATTCCCTGAATGATCTATGCAAATAAATAATCATAATGGGATTGTTAGATTTTAAATATGTCAACCTGTTCTTTTAAAGTATATCTATTTACCGAAATGCTTTGTTCATTTACTAGTGGGTAGTGTATTTCAATCATTCAAGATTTTTCTTGACCTATTTCTTTTAAACGATCGTTGGATTATTATTATTATTTATTTATCTAAACACATAAATATTAGTACAAGGAAGCACCAGATAAATATGCGCCTCACAAATCTCATTTGATTTGTGTGAGGGCTGTAATACTACCCAAGTGCCCAAACTAAAGCAGGTAGTTTTCTTAGAGGTCCACACCTGGAGCCTTTGACCTAAAGATCTGATCCACAACGCAGTGGAGCATCGTGAAGAGATGCAGTCCCATGGTAGCCGGTAACCAACGATTGGTTCATACGCCATTTGTTCCCTCAGGGTAATGGAGCCCGTGTGTACCATTGGTTTGGAATCAGGGTTTTCCAACTCCCTTAGATTGACTCGCCGTGTCCACCAACCCGATTAAAGCGCCGGATATTCGCTTTTAGTCCTCCCACTTTCTTAAACAACACCCTTGGTGCGAGAAGGCAGTGAGTAGGACTTCCCTGGGATCGTTGGATTATAATGGAGTACATTCTAATCTACTAGAATTTTAAAAGATAGAACTCGATATTCTAATTACTGAAGTGTTTTGTTTATCATTATTTGAAACATTCATAATAGACTACTTAGATAGAGGGAGAGGTTTTGTGGAGATTGTTAAACTCCATAGTTTTAATAAATGATCAAAGTACTTGAATATTGTGCTTATTTTCTGGACTAAATAATAATCAATTCACTTTTGGAGAACATATCAACAATTATGTAAGATGTGATCATCTTTGTCATAAACTCATTTTCTACTTAGTTAAATAAAATAGAGCAACATACAAATAATGAGAGGAAACATGGTGAGGTATAGTTGTGTATAGATGAATTGACCTTTGAAATAATTTAGCAGTACAAAACAGAGGTTTGTTTTGGTGCTTTGATAACTTGTGGTAAGTGATCAAAGTTCATGAGTGTGTATAATTTTCAGATGATTTGATTTGCTATCATAAACCAGCTATGATAGATGTTTGATCGTTGGAACTTGGTAAGCTTCAATCCAGCATAGATTAATTAGAATTAAATACAGACTTAATCACATTCTAAGGATTAGTAAGATTTCCTTATGAAGTTTCTTTACTTTCCTAAAAAAGTGATACTGAATATAAAAATGTAGTTGTCGTCACGTCCTCTAGTTGATTACGGCAGAGTACGAATTACAACTACCGGCACTCGGATGTGTAGAATGCCACAGTCGCAGATCAGAAAAGGGAAGTGATTATTAGGTAAGAATCAAAAATGTACAGAAAGACATGGGCATTCGTGGTTATTAGTGTTGGCTACAATATCATTATCGTTCAGCCAACCTGCAAGAGGGCAAGTTATGCTACTGTCCAACCGTAGCGTACCACGTTGATCTTACAGAATGCTCTATTAGGTTCTCATTGGATAGAATCTCTTCGGCTCTTTTCGGGGCTCTGGAGGTTTCTTCATGTTTCTTGAAGCGATCTCAACAGTTATCACCATGCATGATAGTGATACTTAATAAAGAAGAACAGCAGAAGTATTTCATTACATAACAATCATGGTAATCGGCTTCCTGTCAAAAAAAAGATTTGTAAATACTACTGAGTCGAAGGTTTAATGATGCTAAAATATGCTCATAACCTGACATCTCACACAAGACATACTTATATTGAACAAAAATATGAAGTGCAAATAACATGCACAAAATTATGCATATGCGAACTGATAAGATGTTAGCAGGTAGAACACGTCTCATCATAGGTTTATCGTAGCACAAATTATCTTAAGTTTTCTGTTTAACACATAAGACGAAGTAAATGGACTATAGATTAAGAACATGTATCTGAAAGAAAACCAAATGAAGGATGGTAACAACTTCAACTAATCACTAAAACCAAGAACAAAATACATGGCTTTTAGATGATGTCTTCTATTATGTGGTGGATTAGTTCGAGATAGGAATTTCGAACAGCATCAACATTCATAATATCTGTGATTCATATATTTCCCATACAGATACTTCTGTTGTTTATGCCTGATCATTTATATATAATACTACATCCGTTTTTTTCATTCAGATATTACCCGCAATTAATCGTCCTATTCATGAAAGCTACCTTGTGTACCACCCATTGTTAACTACTAGTCCTAAATCACAATTGTCTTCATTTTAATTTCTCGTTGAACCTGAAAGTTATTCGGCGGAACAACAGGTCCAACTTCTAATTTCATTGGATATATAAACAGGATTTTACAGTATCATCATTATTCTAACTTCTATTATTATTAAAGTAATGAACCAGCATTTCATCTTATTAAATCCATGAATGGATGAAACTGCTATTAGTCACATATTGCTTAATGACTGACTGACAATAGATTCAATTTGAAACATGTTTGATATTACTAACTATCAAACTTAACAAGTGTATGTACTGATGTGAATGAAGATAGATTATGGTTGGTAATGCCAATCTTAATAATGATGGCAGAAATCAATCACTGTTAGTAATATTTGCATTTGACTAGAGTAATTTGTTTTGATTTACAGGTAAAACAAGTTTCTGCATGTGAAGATACGACTGTCATAATGTTGTATCCCGAAGAGAATTACGAATGGTAACTTTAGGTCTATTTATGGATCAATGTTATATGCCTACTTCCTATTGTACAATTATTACGTAACTGAACTATTCATATTCGTATTTCTCTTATCATTAACTTTATTTTGACCTTTGACTTATTATCATACGATTCTTGAGTTATCGTCAGTTTGTTGATTACTATTCACAGTCACATTCGGCTAAATATTGTACAAATGTTATTATCTATTTTATGGGTCGATATGGCTTGTTTGGTTGGTATATAAACTAAGTATGTTTGAAATACAATGATTCATACCACTGAGGCTGTTATTGGTGTTTTGGACTTAACTGGCTGGGCTAGGCAGATCGTAGGACCGGTTAGCACTCTAGTCTCCTCGTACGGTTTCGTGTGTCACCGTTCCAATCGACAATTCGCTGCTCTCTAATTGGCGGTCTCATCACCTCACCCATCAACTAGTCGTCCACTCGGCCACAGATATAACACATGATATGATCACTTGTAAGTGCAAAAGGAGATGAAAAACTCTGTTTTTTTTATTGTTCAATCGCAGAATATACATAAGTGGATAAATGAAACATCGTTTTATATGTTCATTAAGACTGCGATATGTACTACTGATGTCAACAGATGTAAGTAGTATGTATCATGAATCAAAAGTGAAATAACTGGTGTCAGAGTGCTAAGGAGACCGAAGAAAAGAGAACGAGAACAGAAAATGATAGACGACTTGATGGAAAGATGACTTTCCCAAACGGTGAACTGACGACAGTTTCAGGAATCAGACACAATCTATTCACCATCAAGGACATTCTTTATTCAAATATCTGCCAATAGAGATGATATCAACTTTCCCCTTAGATCCCATGCACATGGTTTACTTAGGTGTCACAAAGAAACTTGTGACTCTCTGGATAGAATTAGGACACAAGAGGCTAAAGAACAGTTTCAGTTTGGAAAGGACAGGAGGCTTGATGGCCTGTGTTAGTCCTGGCAATGATGGTCTCTCAGCTGATCCAATGTTCTTTTGAAGGAGTCGACGGATGGAGCCTCAACCACGTGCTGAGGTAATGAATTCCACTCGTTGATTATTCGATGGGAAAGTCGGTAGTCAGCTGACAAGTAATTCGTTCGGGGCTTGTGAACTTTTTTGGAGTGTCCTCGTAGATTTTCTGTTTTGGAAGACAAGAAAAATGAGGGCATATCAGGTGCAAATTTGTCATTAAGCAATTTGAAAACTATAATCAAATCGCCTCTGATTCTTCTATATGACAGCGGGAATAGGTTTAGCTTGGCCAGTCTAGTACCATACGGGAGCTTGGCTATTCCGGGAATCAGCCTAGTTGCTGTTCTCTGAACCCTTTCCAAGAGTTCACTGTCTTTTTTTAGGCAGGGGCTAGCTGCTTGTATGCAGTACTCAAGTTTAGGGCGCACGAACACTGTATACAAAGTCAGAAACGTTTTAGCGTCAAGATACCTAAAAGCCCTGCGTATGGACCATAAAGTCCTAAAACCTTTGGCGGCTATTGCACGGCAGTGTGCAGTAGTCTTTAAATCTTGACTAACGATGATGCCTAAGTCATTGTGTGCCTGAACAATAGGTAACTCAGTGTTATTCATCATGTATGTATCTGTACCCTGGTGGCCAATATGCATCACAATACACTTGGAAGTGTTTATCGGCAATTGCCAGGTTTGGGACCATTCAAATAATCTCTCCAGGTCATTTTGAAGTTCTAAGCTATCGCCCTTGCTTTGTATCGCTCTCCATATCTTGACATCATCAGCATAGAGTAAGACCGATGACGATAGTAGACTAGGGAGGTCATTTACGTACAGGAGGAATAACACTGGCCCCAAAACTGTACCCTGGGGGACTCCACTAAGCACAGTTTCCCAGCTAGACAACTTGGAGTTCACCCTTACTCTTTGTTGACACCCAACTAGGAAGTCTTTTATCCACATCAATAGATTGCCTCCAATCCCGACATTCCTTAGCTTATATAACAGCCGGTTATGCGGAACTTTGTCGAAAGCTTTGCTGAAATCGATGTAAGCTACGTCTATAGGTAATTTTTGGTCCTTAAGAGCGCACCAGCTTTCACGAGCGACTAATAAGTTTGT